GATGTTAGTGTTTTGTGTCCAGATTTAAACCTTGTCCAATGTGATAAAGCTGGTTTCTGAAAGGTGTCTATGCTTGACGTAAGAGGTGACTAACGGGATCGGGTGGTCAGACTTGCCGACTTGGTTGATGCATGTCATCAGATCCCATTTGCGAAGATCGATGTTCATTGTGTCAATCACTGGATTGTCTGGTCCAGACTCGATTATTTACAGACCGCCGTCATACAACTGGAATATTACTGAGTGCGGCTTTAAACAAAACTAAAAAACATGACAGTGACGTGAGTAAGGGTGTTGCAGTTTACAAGAACGACTTTAGCCACAGCAGATCGGGATGTTTCTTGTGTTGCTACGTGCAAGCAGTCCATGTGTTATTTCTAATATCCTCTGCACCTACAATCTGGAGTCTGACATTAAACAAGCAAAGCATCATCACGAATGAATATACCTCCTTGGTACATGTTAGTAAACGCCATTATGTAGTTACAGTAAGTTACAGAAACCCCTTGGCATTAATCAATCAGCCATAAGTGTATCCGAGGTCAGGTCAGAGGTCAGCTCGTGCCATTTCCCGACGATATACGGCATATGTCGAAACGTCCTCGTTTGACATAGACCATAGGTATGGTGTAACGGAGAAAGGATCGCTTTACTTTGATGTGCACACGGCGGTCGGAGATGGGGTATTGTAACGTGGATATTATCTTTGGATACGTGGGTTGGTCTTGGCGATTTGTTGGCAGTAGCTATATAATAAAGTGAAGCTGATAATGGGAGATGGGAGGTAGACTTCCGCCGGGTTATTGCCAGCAGGGTGTGTTGATGTCCAGCTGCGAGTCTGCTCTTTGTCAGTGAAGAGTTCAACTTGGAAGACACACAAAGCCACCAACCCCACTACATCAGAGGCTATGTTCAATCATTGATAACGAAAAACATTACTTACTTCACTGTATTAAACACACTCGAGAAAGAAATATACTATTTGAAAAACTATCCAGACAAAATGTAAATGTAAATGTCCACAGTCATGAAGACAAATTATTTCAATACATCCTGTCAAATAATGAAGCAGTCAATATCAACTGCATTTGTTTCCACATCTATAATTTCAAACAATAAATACCCCCTCATAATCAACCGTTGACATTTTATGTATAAAAATATGTAATATTGATTATTTTGTTTTTGTATGTGTCTACAGGAATGTAAATTATGTTTGTCTGTATATATGTATATATAAATCATAATGTCTTGTCTTTTAAAATTGCATCTGTCCCGTAATGGAACGTTTCTGCAATAAATATTATCTTATCTTATCTTATCTATGGGGGATTGCGGAGTGAAAGCAAATCCCAGATACGATAAGGTGTAGGGTGCTTTAAAGAATGTGAACCATACATGATATACCCATTGTAGACTAACATCTAGTCTCTGAAATGAGCATAATTTACAGAAAAAAACAGTTGTTAAATTATAGTTATAAAATATAATAAATAGGAGCCAAGAGACTTTCTTCATTCTCAGATACTGATACCTGATACTGCAGTAATCTAGACTTGCCAATCATTATAGACTTGCATGGGCTGTACTGGATATATTTGTTTCATGGTCTGTATAACAGACTATACCCATTGATATGTGAATCCCTATCCTATGATGTAGTAAATAACACAAATAAGCCAGATAACCGTTTACTTAATTAAGTTGACATTAATAAAGACTCATTCTATGCCACCTCAAATACCACCTGTACCTTAATTTTTTACATCTTTTAATTTCGAATGAAATCAATACCTCTTTTCCAAAAGCGAAATATTTGCAAATTTAAATGATAAAATAACTATTATATAGAAGGATCTTGTTTAAATGTTTATGGAAAAGGCGTTGTAAGTTGGACAACGTTTGACTAATCCATTTAACATTTTAATGTCAATAAAATATGTGTAAAAACAAAACAAAAAACAACTTATGAACAATAGTGTGGAGTGGGTGAATGGGGGGATTTCGTTTTACGCCGTTTTCGGCAGAATTCCAGTAATGTAACGTGTGAGGACACAAATTGTACCCAAGTGGGGAAACGAGACCGGACCTCTAGTGTTACACTCTGAGTGGGCGTTGCGACCATTAGGCTGCGCTACCTCTCCTAAACACGTCTGGAGACGGAGGTTTGAAGACGTGCAAACCTACATACTTGGGTGAGAGTTTGTCTGAGAGTAATCCCGCAGACAGCACATGTGTTCTCATCATTAATATAGCGTTCGTTCTTCCTTCGGGACTCTGCCATATGTTCGCAAACTTTGGAGAAGTCACAACAATTCTAGTGCACGGCTATAGCGAATAAATCGTTGTTCACCTGGAATGTCACAGCCTGACATGTTGATGTTATATATTAGTGTAAAAAAAACATGACATCGCATCCGTAAACTTTAACTAGAAACTCCTATGTTGAACTGATTACAGAAAACCACTCGAGTTATAAGACATATCTGAGGTGTTAAGGAGCTATCTCGTTTACGCATTCTTGACCTTTGGTGACTTAAGAGTTGTCTACCGTTTGTTGAAGGATTGCTGATAAGGGTTCAAGGCCATCTGTGCGTCGTCGACTAACTGGCTGATGGTTTGCTTTTGCTATGCTTGTGATCCTGGAAAGGATAAGATGGAAAATTGTTACCTGACGTGCATCGTTCAGATTGGATTGCGATAAAGTATTATTTATTTACCTCCATTGGGTAAATACATTTACTTAAAGCTAAGGGGTAGGCAATGAGGTGTTTGATGTTGACTGTTCCATTTATAAACCACCAAAGCTTAAACGAATCAGTTTTTAAGCAATACCTTCTGGTCTGGATTAGTGTTCCATTGCCACTAAAAGTCCCACTGGCATATGGTTGTGTTTTGTTTGTTTTTTGTTTAACGCCGCACTCAGCTAACGGTTTGTCAGGTGCGTCACGGTATGTCAGGTGCGTCTAGGTATGTCAGGTGTGTCACGGTGTGTCACGGTGCGTCACGGTGTCAGGTGTGTCACGGTGTGTCAGTTGCGACACGGTATGTCACGTGTGTCACGGTGTGTCAGGTGCGTCACGGTATGTCAGGTGCGTCCCGGTGTGTCAGGTGAGTCACGGTGTGTCACGGTGTGTAAGTTGAGTCAGGGTGTGTCAGGTGCGTCACGTTTTTTTAGGTGTGTCACGTTTTTTTAGGTGTGTCACGGTGTGTCATGTGCGTCACGGTGTGTCAGTTGCGTCACGGTATGTCAGGTGTGGCACGGTGTGCCAGGTGCGTCACGGTGTGTCAGGTGAGTCACGGTGTGTCTCACACGAGCATCGATCCAAGCCATCGGGATAAGATGTGACTGATGACTCGAGTCACGGACTAGTCTGTCGACTCTAGTGACAATTTACTCTAAAATGGAGTGAGTGAGTTTGGTTTAACGCCGCGTTTAACAATATCCCAGTTATATCACGGTGTGTCAGCTTAATGTGGGAGGAAATCCCTAAGTCTTAGACCTTTACCACCTTGGTGAAACCCACGAGCACGGGTATGGTGCTGACAAACCTAGAAACATAATCGGGGCGAATCGAAATTCGAACCCACGATCAAAGGTTTCTTGCGTGTCCAAGGGACGCAATAATATACAGCGAATCGCGGCGCCACAGACGACTGGGCCACCCTGAATCACTGGGCCACCTGACTGGGCCACACGGAATCACTGGGCCACCCGACTGGGCCACCCTGAATAACTGGGCCAGCCGACTGGGCCACACAGAATCCCAACGCGGTACCAAACCAGTCCATACCGAATATGGAGACATCTTATCTGCTTTCCTGTTTGTAAAAGATGTTACAGTGATGTTACTTTCATAAAAATGCAAGAGCTGATTAAAGCGAAATAAATGGTGGTTGGTACTTACACTGGTGTATTCACTTAGAGTTGAACCAATTGCAATAACGTCTTAATACGTCAGTATAGTTTTACGCCGCAATCATCAACATTCAAAAAATGCCACAGCGGCCTAAATAAATCGAGTCTACGCCAGGCAAACCAATGGTTGACAGCATGAGCAACAACCCAGACGATGGCACACCAATAGCCAGGTCATACATTACCTATTTACCTGATGTTAACTTTAAGTTGGCGATTACCACATGCATTGAGTGCTTGGAATCTAATCAGTCCCGGAGTCCTCCCGAGATTCTGACATTACTCAGCACGCCATCTTAGTGATTGGTATGCGTCTTTGTCGTATTTCTCTTTACAAATTCTCGGCTCTTGGTACGCGGCACTCAATCTTGTCTAAAAGAGGCATACACACAGTCGGGGTGTCAGTTACGTTCACTTCAGTGGCACGTCACTTCTTTGCCAAACGGGTTGTTTTGCAACAGTTGTTTAAAGTTTGGGTACATTGGACCAGGTATAACTTAGCCATTAGTTATCTAATAAGGTTTGATAAAAATAATGATTGTTTAATTCGGGTGATGTATCTACTTCCGATCGTTTAAGCTTCAGAGTGGAACAGTAGTAGACATTGGTAGATTCCTGTGGTGAGAGATCAAACATATTGTTAACAGTGATTTAAAACATCCTGTAGATTTTCAGCTTAACGTCCCTTATCTGACTTATTTTATTTTATTTATGGTTTATGTGCATTTTAAGCTCACCATCGTCGTGATATTTTTGAATAAACATTGTTTCAAAGAAAGAACATTATGGCCGCATTGGTCTGTGTAACTAACACCTATACTACACAATGCGGTCATAAAATAACAAGTCGAAGGGTGCGGGTTGTCCAGTTGTCTGTGGCGTAAAACAAAACTCACTCACTCACTCACTCTCTCAATCATTCAAATCAGGCGAGGAGAGATGGTTCACAGAGAGGCATATGCGGAAGTGAAGCAAATGACATTGTTGTTGTTATTTGATTAAAAAATAAAGATCCAGCACATTTTTTCTGATATTTTTTGCTAACCCAATAATCACTCACTCACTCATTCATTCATTCCAGGAAGTCCATTCTCCTGCATCGTTGACAGCATTGGAGGCGGCTTCGTGACAGCGTTCGGCGTCGGACTCGTCGGTGGAAACTGTGGCACGAATGAGGAATTCACAGTCGTTGCAGCGAAAGGCACAGCAAGTACGTATTATACGTCGTATACATCTTCCCAACACAGATTCCGACTCACCAATGTAAAAGACATACTAGCCGTGCGTTACATATGATCGCCATTAATAGGTACATTATAGGTACATTAATAGGTTCATTAATAGGTACATAAATAGGTACAAGAGAAATGCTGCCTGACATCAATAGTGTAATTTACAGCACCTTCCTGAAACTGTGCAACAATAGATCACTTCGCGGCCATGCTTCAAAGGGAGGTAACCATATTCTCCGGGAAAACAAATCATTTCTGTGGTCACGTTACTATTTCAAGTGACTGATATGCATATCAAGCGAGCAAGCTATTTCAGCTAACCACATTTATAGGCAGGGCATTTATGACTCATGGAATAGACAACATACGCACGTCCTACAGATTGTTGCGTTTAGCTATCTTTTTTACATCCTGTTTACTTAAAGTTAGTCATCGAGCTCCCATTCCAAGCGCTGCTTTATTCTTAATGAGGTTTCCTTTCCCTGCTGCTTTTGGCTCACATTTAGTTTCTACACATAACAATGGTTCAATGGCAGAAAGGGAATTTCATTGTGACGTATATATGTCACGTGTTACTTTAGGCCTTCCAGTCTTTTCGTATTGGTCGATGGCTTCCTTTAACTGCTGAGGCAGAATAGAGGGGTGGGTTATCGAGCATCCATATATTCTACAAGAATATGGAGAAGTGACTATACTGGATATATGTTACATATTTTAACGTACCCCTACTAAAGAGAGGCTTCACTAACTCAGAATTCCTTTAAGGTAACCGCCGAACTCCCCTTTCACGAACGACTTTGATTTAGTCTGGTGTAGCATAACTACAAAATATTATAATAGTATACAAATTAGGGAGCTACCATTTCATTTTCGGTTGGAGGTGGGGTGGGGGAGGGATTTGGTTTGTTTAGGAACCCAAATATTGTTTTTTACATTAATAGGTTCTCAATTTGCATGAAAAGATTAAAGTAACGAACTGCATGCTTTTTATACGTTTGTACAGTCTGCAAGAAATAAACACATTACAATGTGGAAAATGTCCTAAACTTTGTCCCATTAGTTCGGATCTAAACATGTTAAGGATATTGTGCTCAGTAGGTAAACGTGCTTGGGGTCTAGATGTGGGACAGACCCGTACCATTATTATGTTAATATTGTACCAAGTACCTTGTTATTCCTGGTGGTATATGTGTCATGAAATTGCCTGTGGATCTTATTTGCACATTAATTTACTTAGTATATATATCTTATCCATATTTGACTTAATACCCAATGATGTGCACTTTATTTAAACATGTTTAATTGTATACGTGTTCAGATTATTTGGATAATACACACTAATATGCATTTTTCGTAAAATATCTAAATATTACATGTCTAGATATTACGTGGATGTTGTATTGACATGTAGGTGGTGTTTAGGCTGTGAGACGATAGCTCATTTCATGTGTTTAGACCCTAAACCTGTTTAGATAGAACTCACCAAATGTGTTTTTCGTTTAGCGTTTAAACACATTCCTAAACATGTCTTGTGTGTATTTACATTTTAAACACATGAAAATAAAATGGTTGCTATTGGTTTGTTTTGCGAGATAAGTTCAATCATGAAGCTGTACTGCTGACGTGTGCTGGAAGGGAATTCAGTTGTGACATATTTGACCACGTGTTACTTTGTGTCTTCCAGTTTCTTGCAATGACTTGATGTTTCTCTTGACTAAATTTGGACGAAATCCTTTAACTGTGCACCATTATCTACGGAATAGCGAAACACCCTTTAACTACGCGAGTTTCGCGATAACTCCATTTTAACTTGCTTTTAATAAGTGAATACTTCACGAACACTCGGAACTATTTACCTTTAACTACGCTATTAACGAGGCCTCCTTTGTCTAGGGCTTTACGAACTCCTTTGACTGAGAATTAACGAGAGTTGCTTTAGCATTAAATGATGCTCCTGTAACTCCCGAGACAGCTCTAACTACGAGTTAACTAACAAGCGTTGCTCATACAGCACGTTCTTACGAAACATGTATGAGAGCTGCCCTAACTTTAAGTGATGCTCTTGTAAATACATTCTACTGAAATATCTTTAACTAAGAGTTTCAGAGATATTTTAACTATGTTAATGAGAGCTGCCCTAACTTTAAGAGATGCTCTTGTAAATACATTATACTGAAATATCTTTAACTAAGAGTTTCAGAGATATTTTAACTATGTTAATGAGAGGTACCGTTACAGGAAGAGATGCTCCTGTAACTACACTATACTGCCAGATCTTTAACTAAGAGTTTCAGAGATATTTTAACTATGTTAATGAGAGGTACCGTTACAGGAAGAGATGCTCCTGTAACTACACTATACTGCCAGATCTTTAACTAAGAGTTTCAGAGATATTTTAACTATGTTAATGAGAGGTGCCGTAACAGTAAGAGATGCTCCTGTAACTACACTATACTGCCAGCTCTTTAACTAAGAGTTTTAGAGATTTTTAACTATGTTAATGAGAGGTACCGTTACAGTAAGAGATGCTCCTGTAACTACACTATACTGCCAGATCTTTAACTAAGAGTTTCAGAGGGTATTTAACTATGTTAATGAGAGGTACCGTTACAGTAAGAGATGCTCCTGTAACTACACTTTACTGCCAGATCTTTAACTAAGAGTTTCAGAGATATTTTAACTATGTTAATGAGAGCCGTCGAACAAGTAAGAGACGCTCCTGTAACTAAACTATACTGCCAGATCTTTAACTAAAAATTTTAGAGATTTGTATCTAAGACTTATAGAGATATTTTAACTGTGTGAGAGACAATAACTAAGGATTAACGAGAGCTGCTTAAACAACAAGTAATGCTCCAGTAACTACGCCATACCGAAGTCCTAAAACAAGGAAATAAACGAATGCTGGCTGTGCAGTAGAAGACATATCTATGTTTACTTTCTCAACAGCGCCTGTAAGCAAGTTCAGATATCCTGCGGTAAATCTCTCTAAATAACAATGTTTTCTTCTCACAGAGGACATCGACATCAAGATCGATGGTCCCAGCAAAGTCGACATGAAACGTAAAGATAACCCTGACGGCTCGACCAACGTGAGTTACATGCCCATGACACCCGGTGCCTACGCCATCGCCATCAAATACAAGGGAAAGCACATCAAGGGATCCCCCTTCAACTCTAAAGTCTCAGGTAAACGCATTTCCAGATACAACAAAAACGCTCACGCCCACTCACGCGTTGAGTGAGCTGAAGGCTTATGGTCTCAACTCCAAATTAAGATTTCGCTGGCAAGAAATCCCTTCTTTGCAAAACTGCGAATAGGTCAACTTCCTACAGCATCGTTTAGGTATGCATTTGTGGCGGTTTTCTCATAAATAATTTTTTTTCTATCCTTGCCTGCGACATGTTTTTGGCTGACTGAGTTGGATATTTAGATACAGCTTCTCTGTGACGGAGCCACCGGTGAGGCAGGATACTCTTGCCTATTCGCGAACACCTGGTATCATCACTATTTCATAGTGATTCACAAACATATGTTCATGACAAGTTCGGAATCAACAATGGACTCTGCATTAAGCAGAGATATCTTAGGATTATGAAATGTTTTTTTGTCGCTTGTATTTTGTAATATCAGATCTGAATAATGCCAGTGTAAGAAGCTTACCAAACATGGAGTGTCCCTTTCCATGAACTAAGCACCACAGTTTGGTTATGTCACGATTAAATTTAATTTGATTCAAACATCAACAACACATCATGAACTCGTGTATATAGTTCAGTGGAGGGTTGTTGGGTAGCCCAGTGGGTAAAGCGTTCGCTAGTCACGCTGAAGAGCCGGGTTCGATTCCCATTATGGATACAAAACGTTAAGGTCATTGTTGCTACGTACACGTTAAAGTCAACTCACCCATACTGAGAGAATGGTGTCACCAAGCGATGGTCATTTTCAGAAAAGTCAATACAGATCAGCAAAGTTTATAACGAGGACCGTCATGCGCCCCTTGTACTCCATGCTCGTTGCCCCAGGCGACGTAAAACCTCCCTCGTCCTGTCGGCCACTGGTTTGGTTCATTCAGACTCAATTATCAGCAAGGAACATTGCTTACTGCGGCCCCTAAAGGATCCCAGGTCTTGGGATCGACAAGCAAACGCTTTAACCACTAGGCTACTCGTTTCATGCTTACCTACACGCACGTAAACAATATACAGTATGTTGATACCTTTGAAGCCTTCTGTTATAGTTTAGGTATTTTCATGACCAAGTGCCTTGTTCACTGAAGTAGGTAAATGGCTGTGGGACCGTTAATGACCCGAAAAACATGGCTAATATATAACATATTTTCCACATGCTACACACGTCTGCATATATTATTACAATTTATGTTGTTGACGTTGAGGTTTTTGGGTTCTTTAATGCGCAAGAATTGTTAAAAGAAAATGAATTTTTAAATATATTAACGATTTTTCTTGCTTTATAAAAGAAAATTCATAATTCTGATTGGTTTAGCTCTAATAAAAGCCGGTAGGGTAGACCCGGATCGATTCCCTAATTAGGTGCAATGTGTGAACCCATTTCTGGTGATCCGTCGTGATTTTACTGCTGGAATATTGCCAAAAGCGGCGAATACACGATACTCTGCAGATAGTTCAATAACATACGTATACTGACACCGGTAGCTTTTTTTAAGAACTTGGACATGAATGATATTTTGAAATACTTCTAAAGAAGTGCAGTCGGCACTAAAAAGGGAAAGCCTTTATATTTGTATATCTCGAAGGTGTGTATATCTCGAATACGACCCTCGGTCTAATGCTCCTGTGTATATTTATATAGATCCATCTAAACACTCCTCTCAATACTGCCATCAATTGGAATATGTGTAAAATAAATGCAAGTTGAACAGACAAGGTATTGTCTCCCTTTTGTACAGGTGAAGGCCGCAAAAGGTCACAGTTGTCGCTTGGCAACAGCAGCGTCTACTCCCTCAAGGTCATCGAGCCCGACATCGTCAATCTCACCGGCACCATCAAGACTCCCTCAGGCAACGTCGAACCCTGCATCCTTAAGAGGCTCGGCGATGGAGAATTGGGTAGGTAGCATCTGTGTTAACCCTATCTGTCGTGGATGACAGGGTTCATGGAGTAATAAAGAGGTTAGCTATACGTACACCACTTAAACACTTGTAATCTAGCTTGCATAAGCGGACACAAAGTCTATTCCCAAAGGAGATAGCACTTATGTTACATGTCAATGCAACCTTGACCCGTTTACCAATTACTTATTTTGTGTCAGAAACTTATTACATAATTGTCAAAAAAGTAACTACCTCGCACTAAACCTTTTATCGCGTGCACGCGTGGGATATCGTCTTAAGTGATTTGGTTGGTTAGATGAAAAGTCCCCGAAAATGCAAGGTGGTGCTGTTCAGGGCGTGAATTGTGTACTTTTCCTCCTGACTGCTTCCATCAGAGCCAGAAGGATCGGGTTTTCGTTATGTAAACAGGGGCGTTAATCTGGTGCGAGTGTTTAACACTGTCTGACTTACGCTGAGGTTCATGATGATGGAGAATCTTCTCCCACGATTTTGTGAATGTGTTGTTGTCAGGATGGTAATCGAAGGGAAACATTCTTACCATTCATGCTACAATAAAGCCTCTGATTCAAACCTAGCGTTGTGTTTAGCAATACCCCTCTCGTCTAATTAGCGTCACAACTGACATGACGTGTCCCAACACTGTCTTACAGCATGCTCAGAGTAACGCTTATTTGGATGGAGATATTTACAGAATCCTTTACATATACCACGATTATTTTCAACGTAATTTATTCAAACCTGGTGTTGGTGTTAGGAAATACTATCTCCTTAATAATAATAATAATTAATAATAATAATAATAACAATAACGAAGAATATAATAATGCGCAAAATTACAACCTCAAAGTCCTATATAGAACGCCAAGACCTTGTTGCTATTCTTATTCATGTATTTGTCAAATTCTAAAATACACATTAAATGTTATATGCACTAAATGCGCTATTGTGACCTCGGTCAATGGATCAGTGTCATTCTCAACTCCTTGAGGAGTATACAACGCAGGCTGCCTATGAGGTGCTAGAAGGTTATCATTCATCCCACCGGATTCCCATTCTATGCTGGGTGAACACAGACATATTTCGAACAAGGCCACTTGCCAAGGGCGACACCACGTGCTTCAGCGTCCAGTGCTCCCCTGACTTGTGACCCGATCACTAAACACAGGGCCACCACAGTATATTTGAATCCAAGAACACCATGCTTACGGGGCCATGTTTCAATGGCATCGCGTGCCAAGCTGACTCGAGCACCGAATTAGGTAGACATAAATAGCTGCAAGATTAGTCCTCCTAAGAACAAGCTTTGTAAATAATCGTTTCTATTTCCTCATGGTAATTGGTATGGTTTAGTATCGCGAACCGAACATGTAATGCTCCAAGATTAACTCTTATGATATACTAATACTCATTTAATGACACATCTCAAAAGCGGCAGGTTAAAAACTCAGTTATGGAATACCGTTAATTGACTCGGCTCAGGTAAGAATGAAGTGGTTCCTGTGTTATGGGTCTATTATTAAATAGAAAAGCCGCACTTACATAGTTCCTGGGAGTAATTTCAGTTATTGCCTTGTTTTTTGTATCAGTTCAGCACACTTATTTTAGAAGTATTACGACTGAGAAGCAACTTGAAATATTGCTGAACTAAACCATTTAACAACGTGGAAGATATTTCATTCTCAGATTATATTAAAAAGGGCACACGAGGATATTAGTGTCTTCTTATATGACGTCCAAATCGCCTACCTGACATATTATATTTTCGTAGACAGGTCCTTCCCATCATCCTGTTTATATTCTCATGTGGTATTGATAGAAACAGTAAACGTCAAAGTTCTCTACTAAAAAATGCAGATAAATGAAATTCTGTATTAAACAAATATTAGAAACCTCGCTAAAATGTCAGTTTTCTAAATTCAAATACTGTGTTATACCGTTTTTAAAGTCTTGTCACTGGACAAACACAGTCTCAAACGTTGATAGATGAAAGTACATTTATAGTCTCCCGCAGGAGGATAGGGTACAATATACAGGAGGAGGATTAAAATGTAGGAGGCTTTAAAAAACCAAATGCTAGTAATCTTCAGCCCCCCAAAATGTATACACCTTCAATTGCCTGGTGGTGACCAAAAAAGGACCAAAACAAGATATGATTTTTCGATGGTGATGTATTTGATACGGGCCTCACAGTTGTGTTTTTTACCTGAAGTTTGCAGTGTTTCGCCGACTGTTTTCAACCTAGTAACGTTTCAATAACGTTTGTAATGTTTTGGTGAAATCAAATTTTCAAATGTAAGTTTTTTTTTGCCCAGGTATATGTAATGAAAGATGAAATGAAAAAATAAACCCCATCCCAACCCCTTTCGTATAAGGTATTTACTTCTTTTAATAATTTGAGAATATACCATTTCCATTATCTTCAAACTGATAAGGTTTATTTCCCACTTGCACGTGTGCACACTTCTGTCTGTGTGAACTGATTGAAGTTGCAGCAGCTCTGCTGTAGTGCCTCGATCGCTTTGTGCAAGTTGGCCCTGAAGTGTGTTACATGGATCAGTGTCTACTATTGCACGGTGTGCTCGGGGTTATCAGAATGGGAATATAACAAGGAAAGGTGAGATGGCACTGACTGGAACCTCTTACCGCCATCCATGCCACTCAGGGGAAACTTGCATCTGGTTACATGCTACTTGTTACCTACTGCAGACGAAGTGCTTAGCATCTGATATCTTATCTACTGACAAGTTCTTATATGGAAACATAATTGACGTATGGAATTTAACTTCTTTTCAATGCGACGTTTTGGGGCAGGTGCTAGTACAATGTACTTTATGAAGCAATTGTTCACTTGAAATCCATAAGGCAATCCTGTCGTCACTAATAGCTTCTAAACGTCACTGTAGCATATAATGCAGATTATTATAGTTTGCACGTGCTCCTTCAGAAACAAACATACGGTCCTCTATGTGTTGTTGGCCATCATGCGTGTTATATTGGTGTTGACTCATCCATGCCCTCACTTAAAGAACACCATAGACTACATCCTCGAACGTCTATCACACCCCGACATTGACATTAGCATAGCTGCTGATACTGACCGTGTTTAGTTGTCAACCCTATGCAATTCATAACCCTGACTCGTGTGTAGTGCACATGCACATTCAGACATTTTATGGTTGAAAAAATAATTTGTTCACGATAATCACGAATAACGATATTCCACATCAGATTTGACAAAACAATAAAAAAACAATTCCAAAGCAAAATGTTTAATGGGTTCCAACTATTTGTTTGACGACCTCTTTCAAAGAAAAATGTGCATATCAGAAGGTTAAATGGTCGATACCTTATTTATTGAGCCCGAACACTGAATTTACTCCTGGCCTTGTGAATATACCTATACTGAGAATACGGCAGGAAGAAGATTCTGTTCCCGTTAACGGTTCCCTTTCTCCGTTGTGCCTATCCTCCATTGCGGCGGCACGTCGTTTGGAACTAATGCCAGTTCTTTTTAAAAAAAACGTTAATTTCCTCTGACAGATGCGCTGTAGATATACCATAATCCCTCCTCAGAATGTAATTAAAACCTTACACCTACAACAACGGTTCCACCTAACTGCCACAGCACAGGGCGTCGTCTATTAAAGCTTAAATTAAACCCATGTAGCTGATGTTGACTTTCACTGGCAGGCGGTGGGGAGACGTCCTTGGAGATAACAAAAACAGAGAAGGTGAGCATCATATCTCGCGTGTAATTATCCTCCACCGTGAAACTCTCGCGAGACCTTTCTGGACTCACGTGTATCCTCGAGAACATTCACCGAGAATCCAGCACATCCGCACCGCTACTTGAAGTGGTGCGTTTCTTTGGCTTTTTGTCTGTGACTATTGAGATGGTTTGGACCAATTTCATTGTTAGTCCTAGAGCCCTCTCATTTTTTAAGAAGACTTTGTAAATATTTTCTTTTCAACAAAGGGCGTATGTATGTATTAAGACAGGTATTTGTTGCTGTCTTTCTCTCCCACGTGTTGCTGGTGGAGCGATAAAACTGGCACTCCGTAGTAAGTGGAATACCGTTTATGACTTGATGGATGCAAGACAGGTGTCCCTATTTGTGAACAATTAGTTAAAGACTAGGACGCACACTTATGTATGTTGTCTATGATACCACTGAGGTTCAAGAACACACTTGAAAGGGGTTACTGAATAATGACGGTCTGTGAGAAGGGTTTACGTATTCGTCATAGAAATTTCTCATTTGTTCCCCAGTACACTTTACTGTCGAATCGATATGCTGGTCTGTCCTCAGTGCCTTAGCGCGGGTCGTTGCTTGGTTCGTTCCGCAAGCTTTCAGTCACTAGTTACCAGGTCAAGACACGATTACATACCATCTTTCCGGGGCTATAGAAGTCGAATTTCCATCTGTGCCGAACTAGGTTGGAATTTTTTAGTTATATGTTTGCCGGACAAACGAGTCTTTATAACTAAACTGCCATGCAAAAGAAGGTAAACACTTGATCGTAGGATTTAACCAAAAATTTGCAGACGTTATCATAGCGTTACCGGCTGAAGACAGTCGCCGGAACTTCGCAAACTTAAGGTCCAAAACACAACTATGATACCCGTCTCAAACACATTACCATCGATTAACCAGTTCTTGTTTGTTTCATTTATAGCCACCATCAAACATGGAGGTATCTTTTCTTTAACTCTTTTACATGCATAACGTTGTTAAAAGAGCCTTAAAATTGCCACATATTTAAACGAGCAAGAGTTGAAAAGCATATGAGTGAGTGAGTTGAGTTTAGCGCCGCATTTAACAGTATTCCAGTTATATCACGGCGTGTCAGCTTAATGTGGGAGGAAACCCTGAAGTGATGCAGGTCTCAGAAGTTTACCACTTTGGTGAAACCCACGACACACCTAGAAACATAATCGAGGCGACCATGGATTCGAACCCACAATCATAGGTTTCTGGCGTGAACAAGGGACGCAACTCTGCACAGCGAATCGCGGCACCTTAGACGACTGGGCTACCCGTGCCCTCTGAAAATCATATGCTAAGTACATACAAGTCTCGCTGTTTCAGCTTCATGCAGCCAAATATGGGCGTATACTTTCTTTGCCCAGTAGTTTATGCCAGAACTTTCCCTTGCGATGCGACCTTACATATGTTTCCAAACAAACAATATATGGACACTCCATATTTTGGCTGCGCGGTAAATTATTGATTGTTGTTTAATTGTAGTTCACACATTACTTGTCTGGTTCCAGGTGTGGCTTCCTTCAACCCCCGGGAAAAGGGTGCATACACCGTGTACGTGTGTAGCAACGAGAAAAACATCAAGGGATCCCCCTTCACTATTAATGTTGGGGACAAAGAACTGGCTCATGCTGCAAAGGTCAAGGTCTCCGGTGCAACAAGTGAAGCCACTGCTAATAACGGAAACGAAATCATCGTTGACACAACGGACTCCGGTGTGTATGATGTGTAATGTTGATATTGCCGTCAAGGGAATGAATACATGAATAAGCGAGTGGGTTCAGTGCCGCTGACATGTATTGCCGTTATGTCAGGGTGTCAGTTGGAAAACTAGGGACTAGTTTTTACCACACACACGCACACGCACACACGCATACAAAAACAAGCGTTAGTTGGACATGCTGAATATAACGTATTGTGTAAAAGCCTTTCACAGTTAATGACAAAAAGATTTTTGTGTTTTTTAAGCAGTGACCAGATAATATTAAACAATGGTAAATGGTTGATGCCTTACTAAAAATCTATTCCTCCTAGGATACGGCGGGCTTAGTATCAACCTCGAGGGCCCTCACCGCTCCGATGTCAGCCTGATAGAGAAGAGGACCGACAGACAATACGTTATCCACTACAGCCCTCACGAACCCGGCATCTACATCCTCAACATCAGGTTCGCCGACGATCACGTAACAGGTACGGGTAACAGAGACGGGTCCAGGAAAAAGCATGGGTGTTCAAACTACCTAAGTCATGAGTGATAGAAAGAAATCCGCATGATTGAGGGACGGACGCAGTTTGATAAGTAAGGTGTCTGAAATGACTACGTGTGCGCTGAAGCACGCAGGCAATACTCTCGGGCATATAGACAGTGCACTGAAGCACGTAGGCAATACTCTGGGGCATATAGGCAGTGTGCTGAAGCACGCAGGCAATACTCTCGGGCATATAGACAGTGCACTGAAGCACTTAGGCAATACTCTGGGGCATATAGGCAGTGCGCTGAAGCACGCAGGCAATACTCTCGGGCATATAGACAGTGCACTGAAGCACGCAGGCAATACTCTCGGGCATATAGGCAGTGCGCTGAAGCACGTAGGCAATACTCTGGGGCATATAGGCAGTGCGCTGAAGCACGCAGGCAATACTCTCGGGCATATAGGCAGTGCACTGAAGTACGTAGACAATACTGTGAGGCATATAGGCAGTACACTGAAGCACGTAGACAATACTGTGGGGCATATAGGCAGTATTCTGTGGCATATAGACAATACTGTGAGTCATATAGGCAGTATGCTGAAGCACGTAGACAATACTCTGTGGCATATAGGCAGTACACTGAAGCACGTAGACAATACTGTGAGGCATATAGGCAGTACACTGAAGCACGTAGACAAAAACTGTGAGGCATATTGGCAGTACACCGAAGCACGTAGACAAAAACTGTGAGGCATATAGGCAGTACACTGAAGCACGTAGACAAAAACTGTGAGGCATATCGGCAGTACGCTGAAGCACGTAGGCAATACTCTATGGCATATAGACAGTATACTGTGGCATGTAGACAATACTCTGAGGCAGATAGGCAGTATATGCTAAGGCATATAGGCGGTACGCTAAATGAAGTTCGTGTGAAGGACAAGTTCACATTCCACCCTGATTTATCAAACGTCGCATGCTAATGGTGCTACAACACATAAATCATGCTGTTATCAGCAACGTAACGATGGCAGTTAGAGAATAACACACACAGTATGTATGCATGCATAAAACGTTCATTTATTTTTTTCCTTTTCATTTTCGTGATATAGGTAGCCCCTTTCTTCTTAATGTCGGCGGCAACCCTTCCGGTCGTGTGCGCGAGACGATCACCAAGCAAATGGAAGCAGCCTCTGCCAGCGAGCCCGGCAACATGAGTACATTTATTCTCCAGATTCCAGGTGAGTCCCTCTGCTATAGCAGTCAGTTAACATGATGTGTTGATAACCCTATCAAAGCGCAGTGCAACCATTAAGAGGAGACCTTAGGGGCCCAGTGGTACAAGAACAGAGTTACTTCCCTTGGTTATCACGTCATCAAGCTCCTCACAGCGATAGCCCGCTCACGGAAGTCTATATACTATCGCTGCCACCGTCAAAGCTCCCCGCTGTGATAGGTGGCCACAACCATGCTTGGAGTTGAACTCGCAACAGACTGACCGTTATGTTTACAAACAAGTGATGACTGCCGTGACGCCGAATACTCTTACCCCTGCTTAATTATTTTCTTTGTCCGTCAATTTGAATTTCTATTTCATTACGTCTATCATTTAAAAATATAGGGGGAAGTTGGTTTATTTTCCGTTCGTCTGCAATCTCGAACCAATCTGATCTAACAAAAAGGTATATTCATCTGGGAAATATGGTCAGTCGTAGGCCTTTTCAAAATCCACTATGATGGCATTCCCAAAGAAATAAACAAAAGTATAACCATTACTATGTTTTGGGTCATCCATAGATGCCTTTGCTCTATCTGCGCATGCGCCACTTTTGGATATCCATCCCCAAATGGTGTAAATGAAACACTGTTCAACAGGTGGTTCAACTCCTAAAAATAAACACGCATTACATACCTTATATGTCATATAAGCATTTTGAATGGAATGCTCTAGCTGCTTGTGTTCATCGTTGTTACAAAATGGCAATTTCATGTCATTCAATACATTCAACTATAAAACCCTATTTTCTATAGTATTTCACTTCAAGGTATGGTTGATATGGTTAAAATAAAGAAATGAGAGAGACCCGGTGTTTTGAGGGTCTTGAAAATGTTAAAAGCCATGTCAAAGTGTGACTTTATATCGATTGTAATAATTGAAAATGGCGCAAAGAATACAAGAATGCTCTTTCCTCTATAATCGTTGATTATACCAATGGCATCCAAGGGATGCCCTGCATGAAGCTGGTGGTAAATCCGCTGTTTAAAATTGCAAGTTTGACTTTTTCAACTTGTTTTAATCAAGGACTCGGGCTTATGTTTTATAAATGGTTGTGAAATGTTCCTTGAAATGGTTTCTATATGTTGCTACATATCCCTCACAGGAACAAACCCCTTCGATATGGAGGCTTCGGTGACTGACCCCGACGGCACCACTGAACTGTGTGACGTGATGGATCTTGAAGACTTCCACTACAAGATACAGTTCACGCCCAAGATTAAGGGATCCCACATTCTCAGTGTCAAACACAAGTCCATGCATATCTCCGGTAGGATTATATAGACAACGAAGATACTCTAGATTTGCACTAGATTTACACTTAATATAAAATTGTATGTCGATTACGTAATCTGATATTTTTTCAAAGATTTTTACGACCGTTAAGTACGCCCACTGACAAGTTCGTGCACACACTGACTTCTACTGACTACCCTGAAGACGGACTAGTCCTGATTAGGTTTCATATTAATGTGTCTTGTGTTTTCAGGAAGCCCGTTCACGTACTCTATTGGTCAGCTGAATATGGGCGGACCCCATAAGGTTCAGGTCGGCGGACCTGGGTTGGAGAGGGGAGAGGTCGGACTGCCAAGTACGTATATGTAGTATGAACTTGCTCTGTAAACAGGAGTCGCCCATGCGTACTGAAGGCGTACTCCGAGCGTCATACGTGTTCCAAACACGCTATACTATGTGCCTTTTTTACTTTCTTTAAGTGTCGTTCGGGCTTTCTACTGGCGTTATACGATGGGTCTTGTTTGACTTTATGTTCGCGTCCTCTGTGCCTTCTACGGGCATTATGCAACCTGCCTTTTTCACGCTCTATAAGCGTCCTCCGGACGTTATATTGGCGTTCTATGGACGTCCTTTTGCGTCATATATCTTGGCATTCTATTCATACATCGCGCGTTCTAATGGGTGTTATACATTCATATTTGCAGAGAGTCTGAAATATGCCATCAATTATGACCATACACATATATGAACTAGTATATTTACTAATATAATGAAAACATTGCGATATTGTAGGTGGAAGTTTGTTGCGTAATCAATGAATTACATGAATTATGTATACTCGTAATTGGGTTTTTTTCGAACTACTTAGAACAGATGTGGAAGATTTTGCAACATAGGTCATTTACGAACGCTTCATGTACTGCCGTTCATTACCATGACAGTAATTTGGGTTGTCTATGTCATTTCCGCCAGCCATTTTGTGGACTCCAAATGGAAGTTTCGTTCACGTGACTATCCCATGACACATTACACCCTGGAAACAAAAGTGACAATTATTAACATTATAAGTGTTAAAAGTCTTTCAGTCTTGCTTTTTGTCTTCTCCAAATCAAAGTTATATATATATTTGTTGTAAAGCAGACAAGAACATTTTCTTGCTGCCCAAATTATCATGTAGGTAGAGGAATTTGCCGAGTCGATTCGAGGTAGCAGAATTAGCCGAAACGACCCGAATGGACCCAAATGCACCAGGGAGAGAAAATTACTTTCAATATGCAATGGTTTGCTACACAGACAAGCATAGCATGAAGTCACATGGATGTTTTTGTTTGTAGATGTGTTCAATATCTACACAAGAGAAGCAGGCCCTGGGTCATTGAACATATCCATTGAAGGCAATTCTAAAGCAAATATCAAGCTGGAGCCCAGAGATAACGGTTTCATCGGATGCGGTTTCACAGTTGACAAACCAGGTGCGTGTTATTCAGTGATTAGGTGTTATAGAGCTGTTGTGGGCGATATTACGGACTTGTCCTGGCGACCTGTAAATAATAGAGCCTGGGCCAGACAAACCTGTGACTGGAAACACAGCAACGGTCAACGCTATTGCGGCACGGTGACACGAAATCGACCAGGTCACTGCCTGACCACCCCATCCAATTCAGTCACGGCAATCAATAGGTGGGGGTCAAGAACGACCTGCAGATGATTCCATGAGTACCGATCTGAAAAAATGTTACACAATCAGCCACGTCTTACAGTTTAACCATCCGATGCTCATTCATCGGATTGTGAAATAAGTACTGGATTCATTGGTGCAGGTTTCAACAGCACTACCCAGCCGGGCTATCTGAATCAATTTTTACAAGCCAATTTCAGATTGAAGTAGCCAATTGTGTTACCCTACCAAATACAAGTAGACATGGTAGCAGAGAAAGAAATTTATTTCACGTTTCAACAAGGTTGAATCTGAGGAGATATAAATTAATTCAGCAGAAAGATTGACAATGGAAAAAAACAAAATGATTCGGATACCGCTCGAGAAGCAAGTTGTGACATGTGAATAACAAGGGATATTGCCGTTTTAAAGAAATCGGTCTAATATTTCAAGTGAACATTTTCTCTTTGGGATTGGGGAGGAAGATTCATATACTGTAGCTCACTCGGCAGAAAATTAAGCTAGGCAGACGGGCTACGTTTTGTTTGTTTGTTTGTCCTTTAACGACACACTCAGCAATATTCCAGTTATATGACAGCGGTCTGTAAATAATCGAGTCTGGACCAGACAATCCATTATTTGACATCATGATCATCGATACACGCAATTGGGGATACGATGACATGCATCAACCAAGTCAGCGAACCTGACCACCCGATCCCGTTGGTCACCTCTTACGACAAGCATACGTAGTTCTTATTTTCAGTAGCCAGAAAGAAAAGGAAGTAGCCACGGGCTACAGGACAGGCGCTTGGCAGGTATATTTAGTGACCTTGATACCCATGATTACCGAGCATTCTTAGGGAATACACGCACAGTTTACCCAACTCATAATAACTTAGGCAATGTAATGTATTTAAGTCATAGTTTAACACATTGTGAATTATTAAGAATTTCCGTCTATCATGCATCATATGTGGTATTGGTTTAGGATGTTACTGTTTCCATCGTATCTACTAATGCAGTCGCTGTTGTTGTGGCAACTCACTTAATTATGGTTCTATTTAGGCATGTACGGTGTCCACATCAAGTACGACGAAAAACACATCCCCAACTCGCCCTTCATGGTGAACATCGCCCCCGACAGCGGAGCCACGAGACAGGTCACTGTTCAGGCTCTGAAGGATAGAGGCCTACAGGTACGGACCACATGTACATTAGCTGCAGGGCAGAATGAAATGTTGTGTTTTTATTACAAAGATTGTTTCATCTGTCACAAAGACATGTACATGCACATTTATTCATATACCAACTGCCGCTGTGGTGTAGTGGATAGAGCGTCAGCCCGGATTGCTGAAAGTCGGTGGTTCGATCCCCTGGCCATAATTAACCGAATAATGGAGGATGTTTCCAAAGCACAGTTTCACAAAGTGATCTTAGTGCTGCGAGATGAAATTTGTAGGTCCTACGTGCAAGCTACATTTATTGTGTCTTTATTCAATATACACCATGGTAGTATGAAAATGGCTTGGCTCAAGGAAGCCCTGCAAAGTTGCCTGATGCTAATTAATGGTTTTATGACATTTTGCCTGTCACAGCTAAGATACACCTTTTCTAAAGAAGTCCCATTTTATCTCACCTGATCTACTTTTCATTTCAGGTGGACCGCGCGTCGACCTTCCAAGTGAACTTCAATGGCGCTAAGGGTTCCCTGCATGCAACAGTCAGAACGCCATCTGGTGGACACGATGACTGCTTCATCCAGGAGATGGACACTGGACTGTACGCCGTCCGCTTCATCCCAAGGGAGAATGGCGTCCACTACATCGATGTTAAACTGAATGACGCCCACATTCCTGATAGCCCCTTCGCGGTCATGGTGGGGTCAACTGCGGCTGACCCAGCTATGGTCACCGGATCTGGAGATGGACTTGAAGTCTGCAAGTGCAGTACGTATCACTAGACCGCTTGTTTTGTCTGAAAATATATTATTTTGATAGAAACAAGCAACTACATTTAAATTGAATATGAGCCCCAACGAGATGAGAATTCTCTTATCCTGGGCAATGGCATCACAGCATAGGTTGGACGGAAGTCAAATAATATGGTTCAGGGACTGTGTTTGTTTGTTTGTTTGTTTGTGTGTTGTTTAACTCCGCGCTCAGCAATATTCAGCTATATAGCGGCGATCTGTAAATAATCGAGTCTGGACCAGACAATCCAGTATTGACATCATGAGTATCGATCCATGCAATTGGGATACGATGACATGCATCAACCAAGTCAGCGAGCCTGACGACCCGATCCCGTTAGTCGCCTCTTACGAGAAGCATTGTCGCCTCTTACGACAAGCATAGTCGTCTGTGCGACAGACCATACGTATCAAGTGAATCAATATATTTTTGTGAGAGAATGTTCAACCTCCGGAATGAGGAGCAGGATTCTTTTTTCACCAAGAAAACTACATTTTCTTTGGGGTTAAACATGAGGCCAAACTACCTTTCCCAGTGTTTTCAGGAAACAAATATATTTTTACAAAAAAATATCCCAGATGAGATCAGTCGATATCGCTGGAATATTGCTAAAGCGGGGCACTCCATTTAGACGTTAAAGGAGGCAACAAGTCTCTATCTAAATGCTGGCTGACCTGAAATAACGCGTAACCTAAAAACGTCACAATGGAATTCCCTTTCTGAAAACAAAACCAGTTGTTATAACGACCAGTCAGGACATAAATATATCATGATAATGTAAGCCTCGTTTGGGAAATAAGCCGCCCTTGGAATGCACGCTCCATTGCTACTGTTTATCTGAAACTACAAGAGACACACACATACTGATTGCGATGTTTCAGGTCAGAAGGCCAAGTTCATTGTGAGGACCGCAGGTGCCGGCTCCGGCCTCTTGGCCGTCTTCATTGACGGACCATCCAAGGTATCCCTCAGTTGCAAGGAGGTGGACGAAGGATACGAGTTCATATACACTCCCTTCTGCGCTGGGGACTATCTCATCACCATCAAGTACGGCAACATCCCCATCGCTGGCAGTCCCTGGAAGGCTGTGGCTACAGGTAAACACTGACCTTTGATGATACAGTACGTAGAGTTGGTGCAGGGGCTATTGAATACAATTGTCGAGGAATCTGCAGCCAATTCAATGTTAATGTTGGGTGAAAGTAGTACTCTTTTTTTACAAAACAGCTGAACTGATAGCACATTTAATTAATACCATTGGTTAGATAAAAGATAAGAAGTGAAATACATTTACTGTAAGCTGGTGTACTAGAATGTTCACTTTATCGAAATTATAGTGTCATCTTTTTAAGTAAGAGGGTGTTTAAAATTTATTAGGATCATAATTATAATACTAAATTTTAAATGTATTTTTATACACCGTATGCTGCAAGGAACGTGGGTTGGTTATCGTCGTCTTTGTAAACATTATCGTCATGCGTCTTATGTCTGTGTTGTCTATTAATGTGTGTGATATCCCACAATGGTACCAGTGGTGTTTAGCATGACCTGTACGTATCGTCTTGTCCCGTTGCTGTATTAATGTAAGGCCGTCTATATTCTTTGGCGCGTTTTTCATCTCCCTTCGATCCAAAATTACCGTCACGCTCAAATATAAATATTATGATATCCACCCATTCGCCCAACTCAATAAACACCTTTTCTAGAAATTAATGAACGGAATTTCCATTGAATAATAAGATCCTAGCTGTATTTTATCGTAAGGATATTCAAAAAGGAAAATTCTGCCATTATTGAATCTTGACGTTCACCGGTTTTTCCGTTTATAAGCACATGCACTTTTGAAAATGTTAAAAATTCATTAGCATAAAATAAGACGTACAATTGCTGTCTCTGAAATGATATATTGGTTGGGTACCGCGACACATTATTATTAAAGTCCAGTGAACACTTTAATGTTTATTTTTTTAAATCTGATGCCAGATTTTTTTTCTTTATCTTTTTTGGAAACCAAATAGTCATCCCCGGTTATTTGTAATCAAAGACGAAGTAGGGTTGTATTTTTTGTTTTATAGTTCTTTCGCTCTCTGAAGCTGTGTGTGGAGATTAAACATGCAAAATAATACAGACGGTCTTAGCTCAACCACCCTTCCTGTTTCGCCGAATTCATAACGAATCATTCACCATCAGTCAAAACTCCTAACATGTTAATCTCTAATGGCTTAAATCACGTGTCTACTCTATACATTAAAAACTGTAATTAGGTTTAGGGCCATCACAATATATGTATTCAATCCCGGTGACAATCCACCACAAATCAAATGAGATGAGCATCCAAATATACAACGTTAGACCAATCTATTGTAATATGTAGCGAATTAATCCATATATTGTTTGACGAACCTCTTTTTCAGACAACAAGAAAGGGGTTGTGAGTTAGTACCATTCTGTATATGTCAATATTCTTCAGTAGCGGTTGCAGGGACAACTGCTCGGTCCTGACAGTCTATAAATATCTTTCTTGTCACTGCATGGTTACCTCTCTTGGTTCAAGGTCATCCAAAATGTCTTCACGGTGACCTTGCCTTTCTCTTGCAAGCTAGACTCAAAGGAAATCTGCCACATATACACACACATATAGATGATATATCGCTTTTGCTTCTCTTCTGTATCTGTCCTTTTGGCTTAAGGGAACATAGTTATATTTTATTATCACCGCTTCTTCGATGCAGGTATGGATACAGACACATGCATGGTTAGATACGGCTTCCTATTAATCCTCCTGTCTCTTCTATGCCTGAAATCTAACACTATATTTCTTTCTAAGATATGACATAGATAGATATCACATCTGCATAATATTTGCATTATATTTGCCTCGGTGCTACACGGCAGCATGGCTTTCGTCATACACATTTTAAAATAAAAACTAATGTAGATAGGTTTTAACGTTTAAAAACAAGAAATGATTGCTTATGTATCTCATTTATGGGAAAATATAATTGTCGTATATACTAATATACTATCTAACTATTAGTAGGTGTGGTAAGTATCGTATGTATGAAGTGACGATCATACTTGTCCTGTTTTCGATCATATCACACTGCAGGCAGCCTCTGTATGTTTACCAGAAGATGACTCGATAGAAAGTTACCAGTTACAGATGCTGTTTTAAGCATCATTCTCATTTTGAACTAGCTCACAACCTGAACAAATAAAATACTGCCTACAAAATATGTCTTTGAAATTTTCCCCTATGGTTTAAGATGATTACAGGCAATGGTATATGGTTTCAAATTTCATCTTTCATTTAAAAAATGTCGAGAAATTGAACAAACAGAACAAACATTCAGTCGTTTAAAACGGCAATATTCAGCGCAACCACACCAATTCAAAATGGCGGTGGCTTGATAGCACGCCTGCAGCATACAGACGCCCTGTTCTGTGATTTAAGGGGACTATTCACTTTTCCTTTCTCCCAACCCACACTGAACCTCTGTACACCCCAATTTATCTGGTTTTCCAGATGGATCTTTCAGCAAAGGTAACATCAAGAGCCGATCCAAACCAGGTGGACGTCGGTTGCTAACCCGTGTTGAACACAGCATGTTCTCTCTGTAATCCCGTATGAGGCATGACTGTACAACAAGTATATTAATACGTATTTGTAGTTGTTGTAGTACGTAAATAACTGCTCATTTTACGTAATCTGTATTACAAATAAGGTGCACCCTGCCTTTAAGTGATACATTTTATGAACGTGAACAGAAATAAATGAACATGTCCCTTTAATGAAAATGTTACTAGATTTCCCGACTCCTCTTTGAACGCTGAAGTCTTGGAAATATTTTTGTTGAACCATTTTTTCATCTTTTAAGTAGTTTTTAGGCAAGGAAGTGACTTGAAGTTGGTATGTTCGAAATTCCCCTAGATTAGTGAGTGTCAATATAATAATGTTGAGATTTAGTGTTTCGTCATCAACAAACCCGTGCATCCCGACCGGTTATTAATAAAAACATTCCATGGATTTTGGAATGTAATTTTTGTACAGTCCTGTACTATTTTGACCTCCTTTCGATTCCCCATCCGAATGTATAACCAAATGAACGATCTTTATTACCAGTTGTTTAAACACCCAGATAGAAGCTGATAACATTCTTGTGCATGATATTAAAACGTGTGCCTCTCAGTAATCTGTAATTCACGTAATAACGAATCCCATGCGAAGGGTTTGCACTTAACTGCCCAGCTACAATACAAACTAGGTAAATATCATTTTAATATGCAGTCGTCTCTTGTTAAGTTTACTCAATTCAGGGGCGTTGGGGTAGCCTAGTGGTTAAAGCGTTCGCTCGTCACGCCGAAGGCCCGGGTTCGATTCCCCACATGGGTACACTGTGTGAGGCCCATTTCTGGTGTCCCCCGCCGTGATATTGCTGGAATATTGCTAAAAGCGGCGTAAAACCATACTCTCTCAGATCATGTCTTTGGTCCCGGGGAGACAATTATATAGTGGAAACTCGTTTATCCGGATAGTATAATGGGTGCGGAGTCATTGTCTTCTTATTAGTTATAGTCCTACCTACCATCACACAGCATCACGCTATCACACATCACGCAACACCACACATCACACAGCACATTTTCACACATCACTTCATCACACATCACGTCATCACACAATGTCAAACCTAACGCAACTCAACCCATTACCTGTCTTCGCAAAACAACTGGGTGCACTTTAAACCCAACTCACTCACACAACATCACGCACCTCAACCCATTATCTACCATCACACAACAGCAATACCTCCAACCCATGTTTTCAAAGCAGTAATCGCCCATACGGATAAACACGTGTATTTCATTTGTGTGTAAAAATGGAAAATTTGACATCAGCTTGTTGATTAGTTGACTCGGATTTATTTGCTGCTCGTCATCATGGTAAGGTCATATAGATAAGTTGGTCGGGCCAGGTTCCCAGCCAAGGTTTTTTAATTATTATTAACGATATCATTATTTGTAAACTATTTATCTAAGGTCAGTTTACCTTTGTTTCTATGATAAGTCTGCTCTCTGAAACCTAACAACTGAAACAGTTCGATTTCCAGTCTAGCTATTAAAACGTATCATAGGACAAATAAACAAGGTTTTGGGGGGGCAAAAGCCGTTGACGTAACCTAAAGGTTGGGCGTTGCGCGCCATGTCAAAGAATCAGTAAACAAGGATTTTATGTATGGATTTCGTGTTGCAAATCGAGAGATTGGAGTCAATGGATGGTAAAAACACTTGCTTGACGGTACGTACTTGCTCGTACGGTAAAATGTGTGAAGCATATTTGATGACCCTCGCCGTGATATGACGAGAATATTGCTTTATTCACACATTTATGGCAAAGACAGGGAGATAAATTCTTTCAAAACAATACTGTAACAACAAGGTGATCATCGTCAGCTCTCAGATCATGACGCAAAAGCGGAATGTTTTCATTGGCTGTTTTACATTTTGAAAACTGATTAACTCATTCAAGCTCGCATTCAGTGCTGCTTCCAGCTTTTCATTAACATGTTCAATGCTTGTAGTTTTAAACTACACAGTGTAATCACAGGACATCACCAAATACATACGTCTTCCTTCGAGGGTATAACAGAGCTTCGCAACCTGAGGCAAAAGAGACGTTTTTCTGAACAGTTTTGAAATTACCAAAACTTTTTACATAATTGATTATTTAAAACATGTTGATAATTCATTAAATATAATACTATGTGTTTCCTCCATCCTTACGTTTTAGTGTTGAATAAATGTTTTTTGTACAAATACACTTCTTTTAACACCGCTTCTTTCCCACTCGTGATTAGAGTTACCTCCCTTTTTAGTACAGCACACAGGTGTCCAAAAGGGAAAACACGCATTGGTAATCTTGCCTTATCTTCAAGAGGACAAAGTGGCATAGACATGGTGAACTGACCCATGCAACCTTAACCTTCTCTGCAGTTTATGGATAAATTAATTGAGAACTCGCCGTCTTTTCACTTGTTCCTCTGTTAAATCCATTCCTAGGACTTACAGTTGGATGAAAACGCAGTCATTATTATTGCTAAACTGGACCAGGGTCTTAGCTTAAAAACATTCACCGAATCCTTTGGGAGCAAAGAAACGTGTTCGTCTAAAGTTTAAAGTTTCAATAAAATTGGACAAGTACACAAAACTGTGACATGTTCGTGGGGTTAGACAAATCTCATATGCGTTAATGTTGGTCCGAGTTAGGATTCATTTATGAATCTAGAATCAAAATTAATATCACGGGTGACAAAATTATCATTGTAGTTAGGGATACTGTCTTCGTGCCACTTTGTAAAGCCCTCAAGGTAAAGCAAGGTGATAGACCACAAGGCGAACAAGGAGTCAATACGCCAGTGTCTAACCACTTTAGCATGTCGCAGGTACTGGCCGCAAAGCTGCTCCCGGAAACGAACAGTCCTGCATGGTGGTGGAGACGGTCGAGAAGAAGCCCGGGGCCTCTGTGAGCAAGAAGTTCCGGGGGGACGCAAGCAAGGTCACCTGCAAGGGGAACGGTCTGAAGAAATGCTTCACCAACAGACTTCTCAACATCTCTGTAGACGTCAGGGATGCCGGTATGTATTTGTTTGTTGTTTATAATGCGGAAAAATCGCCGCCTGTAAAAAAAATCTGGATTGCACTCAGCAATATTACAGCTATATGACGGCGGTCTGTAAATAATCGAGTCTGGACCAGAAAATCCAGTGATTGATATCATGAGCATCGATCCACGCAATTAGGATACGATGACATGAATCAACCAAGTCAGAGAGCCTGACCACCCGATCCCGTTAGTCGCCTCTTACGACAAGCGTAGTCGCCTTTTTACGGCAAGCATGGGTTGCTGAAGACCTACTCTACTCTGAATCTTCACGGGTCTCACCATATCTGTGCCTGTGGGTTTTACCAGAGTGGTAAACATTAACACGTGCATCCCTTCAGTTATAACTGAAATACTGTTCAAAGCGCATTTGGAACCAAACTAGCTCAATTGCTATATCTTGATAAACGTAGATTGCTGGTACATACTTTGTTTTTTCTTTACATTTAACAAATGTGCAATTAAATCAACATTTAAACACATCTTTTTGTCTCCCTTGCGAGTCTATTGTGAGATGTCAGTAATTAAACATTCTCGGTAGACTTTCGGCAAAGGTGGATAATTTTTGTCTTTTCATAAACTCCTCAATCTGCGAAACACTCCAAGTTCCTTTCTATCGTTTTTTTACCATGAATCCCATGAGTCCGTTTAAATAGATTTCAGATGAAAACATCCATTTCTTTGTTTGAAATGGCTACAGTAGTGATATCATTTGTAAATGCTTTTTAAGTACTCGTGGTCTTGTTTTAATAAAATAATAACCAAAAATATGGATACCTACTACATCATATCTTCACTGCAAGTTATAGTCGACAGTCTGAGGCGCACCTGCATCCTGCTTGATATCCAGGCGGCAAGATCTATGACAACACCCCGGCTTCAGCGTCTGGGGGCAAAGTAGCCAGTACTTGAACATGCAATTTTTATTAAAAGAATAACTTGCTGTCAAGGACTCAAGACTTACCATTTCTTTCACTGAAAGGGGAGCCCTATTTCTTTACAACATAAATTTTGCAGGGCCTCCAACATGTCCAGGCATGAATTGGTATTATAAAATCTGAGGCAAGAAACTTTTCTCAGTACTTTCGGGAATAATTATTTTTGTGAAAAACGTGAGCGGGGTGGGGGGAGGGAGGGACTTTGTTTGAGAGAGAGTATTGTTTATGGTCCGCGTTTCAAGAAGAATTTTTTTTGAATGAGAATATGTTTTTTAATGTACCAGCAGCCCCACACAACCCACCCTCCCAAAATATCAAATGGTTAGTCTCTTAACGCAATGCGTTTTGTGTATTCCAGGCCAGGCCATGCTTAGCGTCGGCATGATTGGACCCAACGGGTTGTGCGAGCCCGAGCTGGCTGTAAAGAAGATGACAAACACCACCTACCAGGTGAGCTACAAGGTGATCGAGATCGGCGAGCACACACTGCAGATCAAGTGGGGCGATGACGATATTCCCGGCAGCCCCTTCTGCCTCAGCACATGAGCAGATCCTGATTCTTCTGCTGGTGGAACACGTCGCCCACGTCCTTGACCTTTAGCAGCCATGACCTACCACGAAACGACCCCTGACCCTTATAGTTTCCTTCCGTTTCCCTACCCACAGCCCTGCACAGTCTTCCAGCAGAAATGTTACTGTTTCGTCATTCAGCTTCATATTTGAACGTGCCAATTTCCATATCTCATTTCAAACTTCCATCATCTTTCTCAAAGAATTATCTGTGATGTGTCGCATATATGCATGTTGTTACTCGGACGAGATCGGCCTATTAATATAATGTAATACGATTATCGGCATGTACATAAAGATAAGCAGTTTGCTGTGTATTTTGCATGAAATATGTTCCTATTTACCACTTAAGTTGTTCCATAGCTTATGTTAATGTCTTAATTATTGTAATGAATCCAATAGATTAGTATACAGGTAATAAACAGGGTTTTATTCTTCATAGCCTTGTGCCAATTGTACAAAGCATGCCAGCGAACTGTTGAAGTGTTCTCAGTCTGTCCTTGGTGTATTCATTCTATAACCTGAAGTGAAGGCTCATTCATGTGTGTATGTACGTACTTCCCTTCAGTGTGGATTGTTGTGTAAGAAGACATTTAAATAATAAAATAGTTGACTTTTAGCAGTGTCTGTCTCTTATATACAACCATCCTTATTGTAAGAGTCGGCAGTGCTTAAGTGTTGGATTACTGCAGATTGGTAACCTGTCTATACGGCATGCTATACGTTTCAAGGGCCAGGAACTAGTCTGGCTGATCGAAGTGGGCATAGTCGAAAATATGGAATATACAACGGAACAAAAGTTTTAAATATTGTGAGTGATATCACTATTCCAGTTATATCACGGCGTGGGAGGAAAGCCCGAAGTGATGCAGGTCTCAGACGTTTACCACTTCGGTGAAATCCACGAGCACGGGTATGGTGCTGACAATGTAGAAACATAATCGGGGCGAACCGGGATTCGAACCCACAACCATAGGTTTCTGGCGTGCCCAAGGGACGCAACTCTGCACAGCGAATCGCGGCGCCTTAGACGACAGGGCCACCCGTGGCCCCTTAAATATTGTAAATGTGTTATAGTCATCTAAGCTGGACATCGTTTTATCCCATGATACTATTAACATAAAAATCACACGTATCATTCTTATTCTACACTGTGTCTGTATAAATATCGGGTAGAAGAGTGTACGCTGTCGTGTTAAGAAATACATGATATGGTATATTACACCATAAAGAATTGGGAAAGCACCCCAACCAACCACCCACCCACCACCACCACCACCAAAAACACAACAACAAAAACAAAACCTTCAAAGGTGTTGACTCTGTTCCATTCACAATCTCATCAAAATCTGATCTAAGCGATCGCTACCGCTTAACTAAGATCTCAGGACGTCCCAGTAGAGGTCACGTCAGAACGACCTTTCACGAGCTTTGCCTGACCAATGACATGACTCACAAGAAGTCGTCATCAGCCAATCAGTAAGCATGCAGCTCTCTCAAGCCATCTGGTACAAGTTTCAAACTAGCGACTTCCATTCCAGGCTACACTTTGAAAATCATCGATTCAAAATTTGAAAACTGAACAAAAGAACATTCTGGAATGTCCAACAGATTGCCGAAATTGTATGGCAGTGCAGATCAACACTAAGTTCATAAACAACCATCTTCCCGAGGCAAGGGCGTTAACTGACTATAAAAGTCCAGTTTTCACCCTTGTCGAACAAGGGTGGAGTTTCATTTGGACTGCACTAACGAGTCTATGCACATAGTCCATTCAAAATCGCGTAACGAGGTACATCGATTTCGGGCGATTGCAGGATTTACCGCATTTGTACCGTCAACTGGGCGTCGACAGACATTTTGCAAAAAAATTCAAGTTTTAATCAAGGTGCTCAAGTGATTTGATGCACTTTGCGGGGTTGGACCCGTTTTATTACAATATTAATCTTGATCATCGAACAGATCGCCATTTTGTTTGAAGCAAATGCAAGTGAGAGATGGAATTGGTCAGTAGGAGGGACATAGAAGAGACATAACTCGTAATAGCCTCTGGTGGCGATACGGTTGACCCTGGAAATTCAAGCCTAGTCTCAGACATTTTCAGTCAATTGACGCCCTTGCCTCGGGAAGATGGTAAACAACATGGCGAATGCCGTGCAGATTTCGGTCGACGGCAGGATTCGCAAAGCAGGCGTACCGTCAACCACGGCGGCGACATATTTTCCAAATATTTTCCTGTGTTTAATCAAGATACTCAAGTGATTTGACGGGCGGTCGGGTAGCCTAGTGGTTAAAGCGTTCGCTCGTCACGCCGAAGACCCGGGTTCGATTCCCGACGTGGGTACAATGTGTGAAGCCCATTTCTAGAGTCCCCCGCCGTGATATTGCTGGAATATTGCTAAAAGCCGCGTAACACCATACTCGATACTTGATTCATTTCGCGAGGTAACATCCGTTTTCTTACAATGCAGACCTTGATTGGCCGCCATTTATTTTGAAGCAAATGCAAATGATATGAGAAGTTGATTCTGATTGGTCAATATGACGGGCATAACTCGTAATAGCTTCTGACCACGACAAAGCCACGAAATTCCAGCCCAGTTCAGCAAGAGTGGTAACTCGACTTTTATCATGAGTTAATTCCCTTGCCTCGGGAAGATGTTAGAGGACGGGTGCATTTGTGCTTTTTATGGCTGAAATGTCGCAGCTTTTCTAGACGTTTTCGACGAGAATATTGGAGGATATTGGTATGAATATAAGATGTTTTGTCACCGACGATTCTGTGATAAATTATTGTAAGATGGCATTGTCCAAAATCCTACAGATTAGTACACGTTAATGTAACAAGAGTAACAGTATTCGCGTGGTTGAAACATTTCATGAGATTACCAATCGGAGAGGTTGCACGGATAGCCCAGTCGTCTGAGGCGACGCAATTCGCTGTGCAGAGTTGCATCCCTTTGGCACGCCAGAAATCTATGATTGTGGGTTCGAATCCCGGTTCGCCGCTATTATGTTTCTAGGTTTGTCATCACCATACCCGTACTTGTGGGTTTCACCGAAGTGGTAAACGTCTGAGACCTGCATCACTTCGAGCTTTCCCGTGTTATAACTGGAATACTGTTAAAAGCGGCGTTAAACCCAACTCACTCACTCGTCTCCAGTTTGAGGAGAATAAGAGGTATGACAAGTCGACGAACGCCTATCGTCTATAATGCAGTGTATTATTATATCTGTTATAATAAATACCCTCGAGCGCCAGACAGGGCAACAACAAATACCATATTTTAACGTCTTTTGGTATGACGCGGTCGGGGGTAGAACCCGGACCTTCCGCTCTCCGGGCGGAGGCTCTACCACTAGACCACGGAGGCGGTCGATTGTGACAGGCGCTCATCACACCAGGGCATTGTTCATACAGAAATAAACAGGCCTCAACCAGAGTGTGGGGAGTGATTGTTCCTCTGTTTGCCCTAAACACATAGCCAACATTTACAACAGGTGAGTGTGATGTCATTTTCAAGAAACAAGTCAAAACCCGGGGTATTGCTCAGGACAGAATCGGTAAGCTTGGTGCAGCGACGTTCCTGAAGAGATTGTAAGTATACTTCAGTGACTATTGAAGGTTAATAGGTAGAGTTATCTTTCCTGAAATGAATACCCGCTTCCTATTTATGTAAACCTCTTTAATATTATTTCATATCATCTTGGCTGTTCAGAAAGTTATTTTAAACATAATAATTTACGCTTTCTTTCCAAGGCAACACGTCGGACAAAATTTATGTTCAAACGAATTAAGGGTTCATTTCCCACGGTTTAATTCGTAAGCTGCTAAATATTAATTGTGAAACTGTGCATAAAATAAAATTAAGTCAAGTGCTGAACTGGTGCATTTTGCAATTCAGTTTTAGATTTCATGTTTGCAAGGAAACATTTAGGAATTAAACATTTTCAGATTTTGCTCTTCCCTGACAAAATGTTTTCAATGTTCCCAACGTTTGTAAAAAATACAGGTGCCCGTTGATGGCTAGATTGTGTTGCTCTGCACAACAGTACTGTTTACTTGTGGGAACAATTTATTTGCATTATTAAGGCCTTTTATACCTGTAATCTGAGGACGAAATATATATAGTCATGTAATTAAACTCTTCAATTGTTATGAAAGTATGGGGTGGGTAAAAGAGAGAGAGAAAACATTGTCTATCTTCCGGGTGGCACTTTTTGTGAAATGCGACAGAAAGGTTGCCATTTTATAGACTTTACATGGGAACAACGTCGCACACCGTTTGGAGTACTGGTGAATGTATTGGTAAACTTTCGCAGTAAGACAAGGAAACAGTATACATCTATGAAGAATCTTGCAATTCCATTGGTTAATCCGTACCACGATCGGGAAATACAAGAATTCTGACACTCGTTTCGTAAAATCAATATGACAACACGATCGTATAATAATCTCAATCTAGATTACATCGTATTTATCCGTCCTGAGAAAAAATTCCAAGAGTGCCTTCCCTTTTGATTGAACAATTCCTGACGTTTGTCAGGGCATATATTCTTTGAGGAACACAAGGCGGGTTGTGAAAACTGAGTTGCTTCCCTTGTACCATTCTGCACACAGTTACTGTCACTGTCCATCTCGATAGTTCCTTCCCTTGGCTTGATTGATATCAGTCTTGACAGCTGGAACCGAGTCATATGCAACACTATATTTATGTCGCCTCTTCCTTTGGGATCCTGATCTTTGTTCCCAGTGATACCAAACTGTTTAGTTTTATATATGATGCTGTTATGCTTCATGTGACATTCGCCTTTGTTTAAGTCACCTGTCACAATTTGGCACACTTCAGACCAGTGTCTTGCTCTGACGTACCACGTTTACACTAGAGTGAGTGATTGAGTTGGGTTTAACGCCGCTTTTAACAGTATTCCAGTTATATCACGGCGTGTCAGCTTAATGTGGGAGGAAAGCCCGAAGTGATGCAGGTCTCGGACGCTTACCACTTCGGTGAAACCCACGAACACGGGTAGGGTGCTGACCGGGGCGAACCGGGATTCGAAACCACCATTATAGGTTTATGGCGTGCCCAAGGGACGCACCTCTGCACAGCGAATCGCGGCGCCCAACCCACGAGCACGGGTATGGTGCTGACCGGGGCGAATCGGGATTCGAACCCACCATTATAGGTTTCTGGCGTGCCCAAGGGACGCACCTCTGCACAGCGAATCGCGGCGCCTTAGACGACTAGGTCACCCGTGCCCCGTTTACAGAATATTAATGAACGGTTGCATGCTGTGTGTAGGCGGTTGCTCCATCATGCGCTACAACTGAACATTGGATGAAGGAATTTAAGTGTCGGGGGAGAGAGTTCGGAAGATAACCCAGCCCACCACTTATAGAGCGTGTGTGGCTGCTTGTAAAAGTCGACTAAATACCGTTTATTAGTGCTAGCTCACTGAAATACCTTGCCGCAGTTTACCATGATAACGTGGATTGTGGATACGAGTGTAAATAAAATTGTTTGTTTGCTGTTCAACGCCGCACTCAGCAATATTCCACCTCGCCTATGACCTTTAGCGATATACATATCGAAATCAGAGAGCTGAAGTATGGCCATTTATTTGTCAATGAAAGTTTCGACTAGGCATGTTGTTTCGTTTTTATATATTCCATAAATTCAGAATCACTGATTTTATCGCAAAACCTTCAATATTACGAGATAAATGTTTGAAGTCGGAAAGGAAACTGGAATGTTTCCAAGCTACTATCCGTCGCATCACAGAAGCCAGGGTCCACAGATGGGGTGGTAGCAGGTCTAGTCTGGGGCACAAGGACGCTGGGGGTAGTTGCCGGAGGTATCTTCGGCTCCTATCTCTGCCTGTGTTGTTTTCTGGGGTTCCCGGCCTTGTTCTCAGCTAACGGTTCTTGAAGTAAGCAGCCAGGCCCTTGTTTGTCAACTCGGCAAGTGTCGCCCTCGTTAAAATGTGCAAGTTAAACCGGCTTGGTGTTATCCTACACTGACAGTGTGGATAGTTCCTCATACCACCAACCACTGGTTTGATTGGTCACTTCATTTATTTTTTCACAGGATTTCGTGATACAATTTCAACATGCCTTGCATCTTAAACTCAATCCACTCACTGCTTACTATACACATTCACTGTGTGAAATACAGCTTTGTTTGTTTGTTGCTTAACGCCGCACTCAAGCAATATTCCAGCTACATCACGGCGATCTGTAAATAATCGAGTCAGACAATCCAGTCATTGACATCATGAGCATCGATCTACGCAATTTGAATATGATGAAATGCATCAACCAAGTCAGCAAGCCTGGCCACCCGATGCTTTTAGTCGCCTCTTACAACAAGAATAGTGCCTTTTACAGCAAGCATGGGTTGTTGAAGACCTATTCTACCCGCATCTTCACTGAAATTACAGCAATCAACTGAAAGTGTACATCCAAATCGTCAGTTCTCATACTGTGAATAGAGCAGCAAACACAATTTTCATTTGTTTGCTTCACTTCTCAAAGCACTTTAATCACACATGGCACAATGATGAAAATGAAACATGCAATATAATCATTATGTGCCACTGATCTCCCGAACAACAGTAACAGCACAGGGCTCACACAAGCCTGACTTTCACATTTGACATTTTGAATTTGACAGAATTTCCTTTGATGTACAAAGTATTACAGATAATAGTTTGGGAATGGAAACTATTTGGTACAACCACCTGTATCAGTACATCCTCATATATAATTTTATACCTCCATGTCAGAATGATGAGATCTGATTGGTTCACGTCATCTTGATAAAATACTGTGTAACCTTTGAGGGTAATACATTTCACAGTTTGGGAATAAATCTCTTATACCCGCTTCAAATCCAATACCCACACTTTCCCCTTGCCCCCCTCCTCACTTGTGTCAAAGAAGGGTTTAGGTGTTTCTGCATGGGAATTCTGGGTCACAATTATTCTCACACAACCTATGCTTGTCACAAGAGTCAACTAAAAATTGTCTAGTCTGGATATGCAACTTGGATGATAACCTGCTCAGGCTGCAAAGGATCAAGCTCATTATCACTGGTTTTTTACCATCATTTAGCTTGAATATTGGCTAGTGACGTATTAACCAAAACAAAGATGCATATTCAGTGATAATCCTCATTAGAGCAAGGGGAAACCTTAAATACTGTCTTCTGCTTACTGTAGCGAGTGAGAATGGATTTATGCCGCATTTAGCAATATTTCAGCAATATCATGGCAGGGGACACCAGAAATGGGATTCACACATTGTACCCATGTGGGGAATCGAACCCAAGCCTTCGGTGTGACAAGTGAACGCTTTAACCACTAGGCTATCCCACTGCCCTTTGCTTACTGTAGCCAGCCCCAATTTATGGTCCACAGATTCTTATTCCCAGTTATATGTCAGATGTCTGCTTTTTGTGTTCAAGCAATATAACAAGAGCATTGGAGTGTATATAATAAATCTTTTATTCTTGTATACATGAATTTTCACAATATATCCCAGGTTGTTTTCTATGGACACAGCATTTAAGGGAAATAAAGTCTGGTAGTGGGAGTAGTTCGAGATTCGAGACTTACTGCATGTTTTATTCATGATATATAATATTCACAAACATCAACTAACTACAGACCAAGTGTACTGACTATTCGCACTTCGTTCAGTCTCACACGAACAATCTTTCTGACAGAAAACTGGGAGATTCAAAACAAGTTTTCTGGTCAAGATCCATAATCCTAGAAATACTTGGAAAAGCTGATGGCGACGGAACATGCTCCACAAACGAATTAGCTCAATTGTCTCTGGTGTAAGGTGCAAGAAGAGCTTTCTTCTATACAAGGCAGTCTGGGTGGAGATGCTATGCCTCGAGGTCAAGGCCAAGACCGAGTTTGTGGCCTCCAGCATTGAAGTTCTTGCCTTCTATTAAAGAGGAAACGGTCAGCTTCACACCTGGAAAAAAAAGAGAGGTCAAATAGTGAATGACTTAGCCTTGAGTAACACGTAACCAAAAACAGAAGGCAAAACAACTTCATGATTTCAAATGAAATGATATTCATTTTGAGGGCTCCTCAAACCTTTCTTCACATGAACAATATCCCTTGGGTCCAGTTTATGTAGCATTATTTAACCAATCACTGGACCTTTTTTCAAAACAACTCTGGTTCAAACGCTTTCTAAATGTATTTGTTCATGTGTACCACATGTCCCACAATCTCACAACAGCATTAAACATGTCTAAGACAAAGCGCTTTTGTGTTCACTCCAGTATAAAGCATGTATGTCAGCATTCGATCAGTAAACATAGATGCATATATCTTGAATATATAGAAATACAACCACCCAAGCTAAAAAAGGCTACATTGGGTATATTATGTTGTCTCACTCTCTTGAGTGTCTGAAATTCTTCATGCACATTTCTATGCAATGAACTCAAGTGGTGTAATGGCGATTTAGTTTGCCTATTTTATGCAAATACAGTTTATCTGGAGCCCTGTTTCACATTAGATCCTTTCAGATTTTATTTCTATGACACTATATCAAAACCTTACATGTTAAAAAATATTTCAGACTGATATAACAAAAAACAACAACTCACCATCCCTAAGTTTCTGAGAGTAGCCTAGACCAATCTGACTGGAATTATTTACTTTAGCCTGAAACAAATAACATTCATGAATCATTCAAGTTAGCAGCAAATGATCATATGGGAATTATTCATAAATTATTCAAGGAAAATGCAAATCTTAAACAGTGGTCAAGCACAGACTTCTTGCAATGAGATGTTAGTCATCAAATGCCTGGCATAATGTGTAGTGCGGCATTCAACAAACAAACAAACAAAAAAACAAAAAATCTGAAGTTGACCGAAGCATGGGAGTATGTAAATACAGTTTTTATGCACAATCAGCAGTACTACGTCACAGCATGGTAACAAGGAACTTTACACTTTGTACACTTATAAGTGACAGCCTTGTAGAGAATCAAAGCAAACTGAGTACACACTCTAACCAAAAAACTGCCCCATTAAGCCAAGGAATCAAATGACCAATCATCAATTGTTAATGACTTTATATAAATAAACAAGGTTAACTATAGTACAAATTGATGACCAGTCAGAAACAAGCATCTAGACAAAACTGACAGTAACTCTTGAGCAATACACCCTGATATACAAGAACCTCAATACACTTTTGAAAATGCTTACATTAAGAGATGAGTTCTTGTCAAGAGTATATTTAGCTCCAAGAGCAAATCTTGTGGCATTGGTTCCCGATGTCCAGGACAGATTTACACCAGTTTCGAGGTCATCATTCACACGCTGGTATATGGACCCGGCAAATTCCTGGCCATCATTGCTAAAAGGGAGAAAAATATACATAATTCCACAGATATACATGCAAGTGAACCAATATTTTAATATATATAGCATTTGCAGCAATAAGCATGTTAAACATCTGTTCCTGTTTAAGTCAGCCTGGTTAGCTGGTTGACAACACAAACTGGAGTAGTTGAATGAATTAACTAACTTTAGCAATTAAACAAGAAACTTAAGTGATTGAACTAAGGAACTGGATCATATTTTTGGGGAATTTGATGTTCTCAAACATGTCAAAGATATACTTGGGAGAGAATGAATGTAATCATGGTAATAGTGTGTTACTCGTGACAACGTCACAATAAGATACATCATAATCATGCGAATAACATTTTGACCATAACTAAAACAAGACCTACATGTTTGTATGAAGGGTGAAGTCTCCAGCTGAGTAGCCAACAGCAAAGTTGCTCTTAGTCAGTTTAGACTTGGCAGTGTCAAAGGACATTTGGTATCCAGCAAGCCATCCTTGGTAGCTAAAGTTCAAAACAACACCATGTTAACAGAATAATGCACATTGACATTAATGCAAATAGCTTCAAAATCAAACAGTGTCTTTTACACAATTAAAATGAAACCCATATATCATGAATATATTAGTCAATCTTAGTACAGTGAGTAAAAAATTTGCATCTTCCCAAGACAAGGGCTTTAACCGACTATAAAAAAACAATTTCCACCCTTGCTGAATTAGGCTGGAATTCCGGAGTCTATGCATAGTCCAATTAAAATTGTGTAATGAAATAGACATACAGTTCGTAAACACAGCTTTCAATGTGCAGATTTCAGACGACTGCATGATTTGCATAATGGTTTTGTATTGTTTTATGCCGCAATCAGCAGTATTCCAGCCAGGGCAACCTGATAATAATTAAGTCTGGTCCAGACTAACCAGTGGCTAATATTATGAGCAACATCCCACGCCACAGGGGTATGATGACATGCAGTCAACCAAGTGACCCAAGTCCGATCACCAGACCAAATAAAGTCGTCCCTCATGAAACAGTGTGAAAAGCAATGAAGTGCTGGGGCCAATTATAACCCATCTGATGGACAGTGGTCATTCCAGACGGTGAAGGTATCAACAGGATTCACAACATACCCTAGCACAGCAGCTCCATGAATGGCAGGACCAGCAAAGTCAAAGTCTACATCACAGTTTAAATTCAGGTAGTCCATCTTGTAGCCAGTCTTTATTTTACCACTCTTCTTCCTGAAACAGCATACAAAAATTCTTAAAAATCAAACATCACAATCATACAGGAACATTTGAGTCAAAGACCTTGGACCATGAACTTATTGCCAAAACACTGTTTATAGGAATGACTTAAAATAGCCAGAATTCAGAGAAAGCTATATAACTAACAAACTTACTCAAAGGTAGCTATTTAACTGTATTCCAGTATTTGACTCATCAAGGAATACATTTATGTAGGGAGGCCCTTTCCCTTTCACATAGTAAATTTGGTTACACAACTGTTTATTTGGTTACATGCCAGTATTAACAACCAAAAACAAAAACAAAAAGACTCCACCTGCTCGCACTATATTTTCAAAAACCATTGCCTTACATTTTTTAAGCCTTGCAGATATTTCTCTCTCAAAAAACTTGTTGGCTGGTGGTAGGTAGTTGAAGTGAATAAATAAATTGATTCAAAACTCTTTTTTTTTGTGTGTAAAAATTCAACCGGTGGAAGGACCCCCCCCCCCCCCCCACCCCCCTTCTCAAATTCTCTGTTTTTAATTTGTAAAATGTGACAGGAATGTTAAATATTTTATAGTGCTACAAGTCAGACACTCAATGCTTGATGGTCCTGTTAACATGGTAAACCTACAAACAGTATTTGTTGAGGCAACATCTCAAGATCTGAGTCAACATTCATGGGTTCCACTTGTCTGGGTCAAGCAGGTAACAAACTGTGATTATCAGAAGCTTTAACTTTGTATTTCTTTTTCCCTGCAGCATTCCTTGGCCAGCAAATATATTACTATTTTTAACATGAAAATAATATTAAAAACAAAGACTAGTTTTTCCCAAATTTCAGTCTTGTATGTGAATTGTCTATATTCCACAAGGCCAAAGGTAAGATGTCCTGCAGCAGTGCCATTTGTCACTGTCAGAAGTGTTACCTGCCAGACCTTGCATTGAATTAAATGAAAACATGTCAAAGGACACAAACAATACATAATCCTTATTTGTCCATACAGCTAATTGTCACCAGCTTGTGATCAATCGTAGTGTGCCAATCTGGTGACCACAGCATGAATGGGTTCACTGGTAACTAACAAACCACACTTCAGTTTGTCGTGTTACAAGACACCAATATTTTAGTTGGCTTACGAAAAGCAAGATGCAGTGGAGACCTTTGGAAGCCTGGAAAGTACATGGGGCAGTCCAAGGCACAAAGATATGACAAAGGCTGAAATTCTTACCCTGTTTGTGGAGCAAAGGATGTGTCAAACGCAAGCTTCAAACCCTGAGCTATCTGGTCTTCTATCGTAATCTCAGTCTTCAGTACATTGTCTGTGTCCCATTTCTCAGTGAATGTCAGACCTGAAAGAACATTTGTCTTGAAATATTTCCACTAATGTTTTTCACAATAGTTTACAAATAAACTGTAATGTCACATGAATCATGACACAGAATAAACATCTATGCAATCAAACACTTCTTTGAAACACAAAGATATTAGGATTGCTGAACACAAACTCACCATACTCATTCCACTTGTATTTGGTCTCTAAACTGCCACTAACTTTGCCTGTGTCACTACTGGAGCTGCCACTGGTTGTGAACTGGACACCACTGTCGGTCTTGGTCTTGGCCTCCAGCTTCCAGAACCCATAGTCTGAACAGACATGCATACAATAAGTACCATATCCACAAACATACAAATAACATTAACAACTACCAATGAAATACTATTATAAACTAGCTTAAAAGATTACAGAACTCTATGCAGAATTCATAGAAATTGGTTGCAAAATGTCAAAACTAAAAGTCGATGCTGATTTCAGGTTTAGTTTCTTAAGTGACAATAAGATACACAATTGCTGCCTCACATCAAGATATCATATACCTTACTAAAGTACTTACTAAAGCCTTTAGAGAAGAGATCCCTTGCTGATTTTCCAAGGTCAGAATATCCTGGAGGAGCCATTACTGTAATCTGCAATAGATCACAAATATATTGTCAGCTATTTTTATTTCAAATACAAATGATGTATTTTTCTCATTCTAGTTTGCAACTTGTAAGCATTACAACTGCAGGGGTTGATCCAGGATTCCAAACTAAGTACCCTTAGTTAAGAGCAGACAAACATTAAAAAAAGAAAAATTTGTTTAAAACTGGAATTATTCTGAAAAAGTCTGTGAAATGCAAGTCACCTCTGCAAAACAATAACATTTGTTACTACTGTAGTAGCATGACCTGGCAAATTATTAATTCCACTTTGGGACTTTTTCAGACTTGAGGCTGAAGATAATGGCCTTCGAGCAGGTCGGAACAAATCCCTGAATTACGCAATAAATGAATTGAATTAATACTTAAAGTCTTTGTCAAGGATTAAAACAGGATGTTCACCTGTCAATGACATCAAAACAACTGCTTCTTCTCATTCCCAGAAGAAAGATTTTTGCGGAAAGTGAATCAAATTCGAACAAGCCAACATTCATCATGTTCACAGAGCTCCAGATATCTTTTTGAGCAATTGAGTTTTTACTCTAGGGTTTCTATTTTAATTGGGTTATTAGTAATAACATTTTTATTATTACATTTTTCATTTGGTTAGTAATACATTTTCACTCTTCTATTCATCACTCTATTGAGTTTTTCCCAAAATGAGTAAGCATTTTGAGATTTAAAAAAAAATGAAATAATGTTTTAGATGTATATAACTGTCCTAAGTAAAGGCTTGACCTGGAAAGTAAAATAGCTAGTAATTGTGTTTCCGAAATTAACTCCGTTGTACGCATGCTGAAAAAACTTTATTGGGTATTTACGCATGCTGTTTTCAAACAATTGCGTTTGCCATTTAATGCATACTTTTCTGACCTCAAGATAATTGAAAGTAATTGGGTTTTGAATAGTTTTGGGGGGTATTTTACACAAATATGCAGCTTATCTGTAACTCTGTGTTAATGACATTAGCATTGTTTGTTTTTCATGCCACATTCCACAATATTCCAGCCATTTGACCATGATGACGGAGGTCTACAAAACTGTATTCTTGATCAAACACTCCAATTATTCACAAAACGTATTGTTTGTTTGTTGTTTAACTCCGCACTAAGCAATATTCCAACTATAGGACGGTGGTCTGTAAATAATCGAGTCTGGACCAGACAATCTAGTGATTACCATCATGAGCATTGATCTATGCAATTGGGATACGATGACATGCATCAACCATTTCAGCAAACCTGACCACCAGATCCTGTTAGTCACCTCTTACAGAAAAGCATGGGTTGCTGAGGACCTATTATTTACACCCATCTTTACAGTCTATTCACAACATGAGCATTGGAATATCATTACATGCAATGAACCGAGTCATCAAGCCTGACCACCCCTATTTATTTAGTTGCCTCTTACAAGCACCAATTTTCTTACCAGGAATGCCCATTGACATCAGCACTATGAACATAGTGAATGCAACCCATCATTATACGGCACTTCAAACATTGAAAACTCAAAATACGGGCCAATAGAACTTATGGTTACAAACGTTTATTTATACCATAGTAGATTTCAGCACTTGTGTCATAGTAGAATTCAGCACTAGCGATATTTACTGTAATGGTCACAGTTCAAAACTTTACAAAACCATGAATTTGACGCACCAAACCAAGACAAACTCATACATCAAGATCACGGTATCCAGACCTCAATGTTTAAATGTTTACCAAGTTTAGCCATTTTTCTACGTGAATATATTATGCTATACACGCGATCATCCAGTTCCTGTGTGTCCCTGTTGGCCTAGGCCTACAGCTGACATTGCTCGACCGGTTTGCGCGTGTCAATAGATATTTAACGTTGACTTCTAAAATGATGAGGCTCCATTTTCTTCCAGGTAGCCAGTAACAAAATCAAGAAGTCAAGCCAATATTGTAGGTACCGTAGCCAAAAGAATTTGAAATGATCTTCTATCAAATAACTGTTATAATATGTACAAGTCATAGCACTAGTCTTGGAATTATATATTAGTGGAAACTGTACCGGACTTTTGTTACTTGTGACAATTTTGTTTCACAATGATGCAATTTGTGTTACTAGATTATATAGGACTATCCTTATTTATACAAAGAGCATTGTCAACTAAAATAAAATACTAAATGCCAGTGATGGAAACTAACACTTTTTGTCTACTGGTCCTTATAATGATAACATATGGCAAAACCCTTAAAAATGACAAATTTCTAGAGGTGAGGTGAAATCGGGTTTAACGTCGCGTCCAAGATTATTGCACAAATTTCTAGAAGTCCTTATGATACCTTAACTATTGGGCAGTTTGGCAAGGAATATAGGACTAGTGACAATTTCTAATGCTGATAATGCATTAATATTTACGTATTTCCGATCATTGTAGACTTTAGGAAGAATTATTTGTGAGACGTGTTTTCCAAGAACAACTGTTATTTATGTTTGTGTCTACATATGTGAAGCAATAGAACTTAGTTGTAGTTATTTGGCTACCTCTAAATTTTAGACAGTAGACAAATTGAAATTTAGGTCGCATTGGCCACCATTTTAGTCACAAATTTGAGGCCTGATAGTATCATAACTGGACTATCTTGATAACATTTCTGAGTTTGCTAAGCATATTAACTTGAAATAAAAGGATAAAATGAATAAATTTATATCCTAAGCATGTTAAGACTTCAAAGAAGGGTCATTTTTTTATTTCAATGTTCACAGCAGTGAAAAAGATAATTGGCTTCAAAACTAACAATATGTAGAAAATTGTAGTCTCTCTTCTAATTTTGCACATTTTCAGAAAGTAGAAATTATGTTTGATAATAAGGTTAGCAACGTTTGTTGGAATAGCTATTTGGTTAATGAATCCACGTTGAACACTTTTTAAAAAGTGACCTTACAAACGTACAGGCATATGTATAAACAGACTTAAGACTTACTAAAAATAACATAATTTACAATCGGGAATCATTGAGATCCCCAGTTTCACACGTCTGAATGGGTAGGCTGGAGTGACCTCCCTTTGAAAGCATGTCGGCTTTCCCAATGTCATTTTTGAGGACAAGCAACTTTCTCATATTACAATAAATGTATTTTTATGAGAATCAGCGTATCCTATTATCAGAAACATCCCACGGACACACAAAAAAATCATTTTAGAAGTCAACCTTAAATATCTATTGACACGCGCAAACCGGTCGAGCAATGTCAGCTGTAGGCCTAGGCCAACATGGACACACAGGCACTGGATGATCGCGTGTATAGCATAATATATTCATGTAGAAAAATAAATCACACCCCTCCATCGTCTATATGTATAAAGAGGGGTGTACAAAAAAATTAATATATATTATATGAATCTATTCTGCTATAGGCTACACGCTCTCATCGAGTTCCTGTGGATGGACACTGATCAAACATGGAACAGCAGGATTCGGATGATCATTTCACCAGGAAGGACAAATCATAACGTAAAAATGACACGAGCAGTAACAGCTCATTCTACTGTAAGTCACCTGAACATCCCAATATCCTTTATAGGCAAAAATGTCACGAATGCAGGAACATGCCTATTGGTTATCAGCCTATCCAACAACGCAATGCTTGCTTTTTTCTCGCCATTGCCATGTTCCCGACATGACAATTTACCGTCTCCGAATATCTGGGCACAATCATTGTTTTCCACGAGTTTAGAGTTGATGAAAAACTGATGCACAAACAGTACATTAAAAAAAAACCTAAATGAATTCGCATTAACATCCCATATATTTAATGTTCCATACCTGATCTTGCAAGCTTCCAACAAGGTCACCACTGCAAAAGGACTGGGGGTGTCTCTTACGTCATCAGGGTGTTCTTATTTAGAAAATAAATTGTTGTACCTATATAAGTACGTTTTTTAATTAATATTCAATCTGACACTAAAAGGTTTATTTATTTTTGAAAAATGAATTAAAAATGAAAAAAAAGTATGTATATCACTACCCATGATACATGCAATAAACTTCCGCTTCCGGTTAACACGAGCAATGAAAACAACATGACAGTGAAGATAGACTCGTGTAGCACATGCATACAGCATTTTGGAGTGTGAACATTAGGTAGACAACTCGGTTGGTATATTGACACATGTTATGTTTTATTTCGACAATGTGTACATTCAATTTCAGTAAACTCCCTTCATAATTACTTAAATTAAATCCCACTCTCAATGTGACTTTACAACCTACAGCAGTCATGTGCCCACGTAAGTTATGCTGGTATTCAACGTATGGACTAACTTCCTTAAGACGGTGAAAGGATTTTTTTATGATGAACATACCAAATAAACATTTATCTACGAACTATGATCATACTTGGATATATATTCATTGATAAATCTGGAGTACGATGACTATGATAAGAAGTAGCATTAACCCCAAACTTTGGGCCAAAGCCCATCCCAAATTGGCCAATGTTGATGCGGCTGCTGGTGAATTCGTAACTAAACTAATTTATAAATATGGAGAATTCGTAGACACTCCCAACTCCTAGACAAAATTCAAATTTGTCTACAAGTTCACTGTTAATAGTGTTTACGAGTTGGCGGTGTATTCGAATTCACCTCATCCCATGTATGTATTCAGCTGATGGTTGCCTTAGAGTAGTTTACCCCCAAATCTGTCTTTAAAGGGACAGTACATTGACTGCTCTGAAGTATTGTTTGTAAACAATAGCCGATAAGCCCCGAGCTTACTCATCTCTGCTCAGCTTATTGTATTCCGTGAGAGAAGTTTCTGCACCAGTGACCACACCGTGGATGACCAGACTTTTCTCTTGTTTGTAAACAAACACACTTATTCTGAAATAAGAACAGACAGACATCATGCAAGCCTTTCGCTGCACTTTACATATTATATGGCATAATGATATAGATAAAACTACTACAACCATGACAACTGCGACAGTGAGGTGCATCACAATATGGCTTTAGACATCAAAGTTACTAGGGTTTATACAGGCTTGTAATGGCCTTGAAATTTAAGGTTCCTCTTGAAAAGCCTTGAATTAGTACAAAATGATATAATTGTTAATCAAAGTACACAAAAAAATGTACCAAGGATGTTAAAGTGAGATTTATCTCAGTGACAGTGATTTATGACAATATGTGCCAAAGTCCTTAAAGAACTCCTGACAGATTTAAATTTGGGGGGGGGGGGGGGGGGGGTAAGAAGCAAATCTTGTTGGAAAATGTGTGCTTGTCATACTGCTTTTATGTCTTATGACAAATATATAGTATGCTGGATTCAAGATAAAATTGACAGACTAAGACTAATAACCCAACTGGAAGAGCTTTGAAAATGATAGTTGGCAGCCTTGAATTTTTCGTTTTTTATTTTTTTATATTTTCATTTACACTATTTTGACTTGAAACACAAAGTAAATATTTCACCTGAGCATTGCTTTTTGTGTGTATATTTTTTTACTGTCAAAATGTGTAACATTTTCAAATTTTTTAAACGCCTAAATATTCAGTTATTTTACAAATTGACTGAAAAACATTTCCATCTATATTATTATGATAACGAACATTTTGATGTTTAATGTCATCACCAAGAGACTGAAAATGTTACGTTGAAAAGTACATTTCTATGTTGTTTGGCTTCTAATACTACATAATAATCTGTTGTGATGTTTTTAGGCCCTTTTGATCGTCTTAATCAATTTTAGTCAATCTGGACAGATTTTTCAGTCAAAATGACTGAAATATTTACACATTTTATAAATTGCCTGAGAGAATCACATTTTACAAATTGACGGTAATATATACACGCTTACAAAGGAAAAGACTTGTGAAAACAACGTCTATCGCGCATTGAAGAATTTCCAAACCTAGACGTAGAGGAACAAGAACGAATCGGTTCAATGCTACAGCAAATGAATGAAAACAAAATGCAAATACCATAATTACAACCTACCAAATTTATGTGCATAATTTTAGGCAGCTTCCTTGTTCGAGGAATGTATCCGTGAATATCCACACAAAAGAACAATATCCCTCTCGTCTGCAGCTGTGCAAGGAAACTTATTCAATGTCACATGTCTCTGTAACAATCAAATATTTTAAAAGATATATATCGTTTCGGGATATTATAATCCGTGTTTGTTTTTCAACTGATCACTCAGGTTGTTTCAGGTGTTTCACATAGGTGTCATGTCTCAAGGGTCGGCTGAGAAAGCCAGACGTGACAACTATTTTCATAACGTCCACAGTTACTAAAAAATCCATTGAGTGATAGATAACAATGCGCAATCAATCAACGTATTATCAGTTAACCCTTTGAACAAAGTATGGCACTTCACGCCATGATCATGATGATATGAGTGTAATCCCTTTGTTTTAGTAAACCTAGACATGTAAACACTCACTTTTGACATATCTGCTGGGCAAGATAACAGTGATTAATCAATCAACGTATTTTCTGTTAATCCTTTGATGACTAGGAACGATCCGTTAATTTACAAAAAATGTAAATCAACAGATCATTCATCTCTTGCTGGGTTGCCACGTGTATATTACATAACACACATTTCACCTAACTTCAAACCTGGATTTAGATTGAATAATTACCCCAGACACAATAAATGCCAAATGGGAACCTTTGTCAGGTAATCTAAGTGGTGCTACCACTAATAATTATACCTGTAATAAATTCATTGACTGAGCATCAAGTTAATGACGACAAATACACAAGTGTAGGTTATACCAGAAAACATGGATGACAACAAGGGAGTAGTAATCGTAGTATCGACGCAATCCAATATCCGAAAATGCTTTCACTGCATGGATCCTTTTTTTATTATTAAACTATAACCATCTGGGGTATTTCCAAATGACGACATCCAATGAGCTCCGCCGTTCTTTTTGTCTGTTTGTTTAGGGTGAAGAAATTAATTAACATGCGTCCTTTGTCGAAATCTTTATAGATCACAGTTAACCAGTCAGTGTTCAAAAATGCCTAAAACAAATCATGCCTCCAAGTTTATTTAGCTGACCTTGCAGACAGCGTCTCATGACCGAGACATATTTATTTTGTTATTTAAGCTTTTATAATATTGGCTTCCGATCTAATCAAGCTGGCTTTAGTGTTTTGTTATTTAAAAGCACACAGAACCATCGAGGTACTGTCTCTAAAAGCCTTGGATCCCCTTTCTGATTAAGCACCCTTCGTCATTTCTAGGGTTGGGCACCCCATGTTGGTCAGACATCCGTTTTACAATTAATAGGATCAGCAGGCTAGGTGTCCCCCTCAGATCCTCAGGGTCCGTTGTTAGTTAGGTTTCACTAGCTGTGAAATCATAGCTATAAGGTGCTCTGCTTTTACATTCCGACATCAAATGTTCGCAAATACATACAATACAATAGTAAGAGTGACTGAGGCAGTAAGCTCCACTCCCGTTTGTGTTTTTAGACTCACGAGTCTCATTAAATACAGTGGAATTCAGATTTTTGTGAAAGCTCAGTTCCTTAATTAATTATTTTTACTCAAACTTAATCTGCAAAGCACTGTCAAAATGGACTTTTTACACTGGATTAAAATTAGGGTCCCAACAACCAATTTACTATTTAAAAGTAGCTGTCTAAATCAGACCGGATGTTCTCTCACTACTTTGAAGTAAGCTCAACCAGTGTCAGCTAAGACAACGATGCTGATCCTGCCTGTAATCCTGCACACATCTATTGCCATGATGTAAAGGAAGAAAGATTTGTCTGTATTCAGCGGTAGATGGTTTGGAGCCATGGGGGAAAATACATATCCATATTACTTAATTTGCACCCTGATCACATGCTGATGCAGATGTATGCATATTTAAGACCTTTGTAGTCATAGACATCGTGTAAGACTTATTTATTGTCAGCATTGCTGCCTATGCTAGTTGATTTTGATAATACACTAAAATCGCTCATAGTTTTACTTTGTTCTTAAATGCGTATGAATAAAGAACAATCTCATTAAAATCAGATCTTAGTTCTCGCTACTGCTAAACAAAGATCTGAGGACATCCCATTACGGGTCACGTCAGCACGACCTTTCATCCAACCAATCAGAGCGTCGCTTACCAGATCCTGACAGTGACAGTCGGAATGTGTTTTCTAGTCATGCAGCCTCGAAATATTTAACAGAGGGTATTCCGAATGACAGTTACAGGTTTTATGATAATATCCATACAATTTATGCCATCTATAAGCCATTCCAGAATGTTGTTTTGGTCAGTTTTAAGAATATGTTTCTAAGCGTAGTCGCCGTAAAGCTCGAGATAGCTGCCTTCTGATTGGCAAATGTCGATTTCTTGTCAGTCATTTCATTGGTTTGTCAATGTTCACAAAAGGTCGTTCTGACGTGACCCGTAATGCGATGTCCTCAGATCTTTGGTTAGCGGTAGCGAAAACTAAGATCTGATTTTAATGAGATTGGAATAAAGAATGATTATCAAACAGGGTGGACATGTTGTATGCGAAGCTGTTGATCATTAGTGAAGCTAAAGCTAAGTCCTATTTGAAGGTGCTTCATGTTAGGGGTGTCATGATTAATTGAAATAACCATATATTGCTATTGGTAAGCACTAAAACACTTAAAGTCAATAAATCAATTGTTAAATCAGTTTCCGATCAATAGTATTGATTTCAGTTAGGAATATTGATAGTTTCGATTGTTTTTACCATATCAATAAAATAAATGCAATGCTGTTCAAATTTTTTTTGGTTTTAATCAAAAGTGGTAGTAATTAACACATGGTAATATGGAAGTTTCTTTTTCTTAAATTATAAGGGTAAAGAAAAAAACAAATCGGTCATATCTCAAACTTTACTTATTATTTGTTGTTATGGTTATCAAGTTCAAAGGAAACTTCAGTTCCAAGGTTTAATTCAACTCTAAAATCCATCTAAAACATACACTGTAAACTCTCAATATTTATCGCAATAGTTGCTTGCAATATCAATAGTTATTGCAATAGTTTCTTTCAATATCAATAGTTATAGCAACAGTGATTTCCAGACCAATAGTCACCCCTACTTCATGGTAGGCAAGTAAATCAGAAGAAGTAGTAAACAATACATGTCCGTCAGTTG